TTCCCATGTTTTTGCAGCCTCCTTCACTTTTCATATTAAGCACTCAACACTTTTGGCCGTAATTCTAGGTAAGTGTAGCCAGAAAGACGCCTGTTGGAGGAGTTGTATCCCAGCATTCCCTAAATTATGGATCATATTAATAGGGTTTTGTTTTCTTTAAATGTTCTATTCTACGAGTCAGCTGCTATCCTGTCCTTTTTTGACAAAGTTAGGGTGGGGAGGGGGGAGAGAAATAATTCAAGATAAAAAACTTTTGGTGGATCCTTTTTTCTTATAGTTGTAAAGCAAACTAGTCACAAAAAATGTCAAAAGGAATTTAAGAACCTCAGGACAGTCATACAGAGTCACACATACATGTCTTCCAAATCGTGAAATAAAAGTAATATTAATATATTTTTCTTTAAAAGCAGCTGCTGAATCTTTTTTAAGGAGTGAATTTTCTTTCAAGAAAAAGATTCTAGTCCTCATGGGTGAAGAGAAGGAAGGTTTAAGATCATCAAAATCAAGATCATTGTCGTCGTCGTCATCAAACTGCATTTATATCCCACATTTTCCCCCTCTTGTGAGGAATCTAAGGCAGCTTACATGTCTCCCTTTATCCTCACAAGAACCATACTGTGGAGTAGGTTACCTGAGAATGAGTGGCCGGCCCAAAGTCACCCAGGGAGCTTCATGGCCCAGCAGACGCTAGAACTTTATCTCCTGGCTCCCCAACCCAACACTCTAAGGCAGGGGTCTCAAACTCAGCTGACCTGGGGGCCGCTGGAAGCAGAGTCCGGGTGAGGCCGGGCCGCATCAAGTATTCCACCCCCGCGGTGGTGGGGGGCCGCTCATCCCGCGGCCAGCCAGGGCGCCACCGGGGCTTTGAAGGCCACAGGGCCCGTCCCCCGTGCCCTGCCCGTCCTGGCAATCGGCCCGCTGGCCGCGAGTTTGAGACCCCTGCTCTAAGGCTAAGCACTGGCTCTCGGCCTACTTCCCAGGCAGTCTCCCATCCAAACACTAATCAGGCCTAAACCAGTTCAGCTGCCAAATTCCAGTGAGATCAGGTACATTCTGGGCAATATGACTGCAGCCATGAGCCCCTGGAGGCTGACTCCTTGACTCCCAAGAAAAGGCACTGAGATAAATCATCACTGTTTGGCTCCTGTAGCTTCAAGCGGCCAGCCACGGTAGGCAAACATGTAAACAAAAACTGCAAAAAGGGATCAACATGTAGATCCTGCCTCGGTCAAGGGTATGTTACAGGGTATCATGAAGGAGACCTGACTGTAGGCATCGAAGAGGAAGAGTTTACATGAGGGTAATGAGTTCAGGAATGCCTGCCTTCTTCCCAAAGCACCATGACTTTTGAGCATTTGGGATTAAAATTTTTGCCTTATACAAAAGTAGAGAGTCACATTTAACTTCTTCAGATTCGCCTGCATCACAATCTGACTATACAAGTATTTCACATTAGCATCCATTTAATCTGTATCTAGCCTGCAGCAACTTTGTGGTTTGTGGCTGGGAGCTTATATAGCCCCAAGTGTTTTAAAGTTATACCATACTAAAATGTCTGGTATATCAACTAAACGTCAGCTTAAATGTCATTTCAAATATACAGAGCTTCAGAAAGGTGCGACAGATATCCAGAATAATTGTGTCTGAGTATATTATATGCCTAATAAAATGCAGAGGAGGAAGATCATGGTAGCCCTTCAGTTTCCCTTCAGTGGGAAAAGGTGGAATATAAATGTAATAATATACAGTATGTACACATGCATATGTATCTATGCAGTGTGAGAGCAAGCACGCTTGTGAAATAAATATGTGGGACATGCATCAAACCTGGCCAGTGGACTCTACAGACTGTTCAAGGTGTTCCCAAAGGTGCGGTAGCCTTCCCTCTGAACTGAAACGGGGCCATGCAGAAAGCTTCCTTTGCAATTCAGTTTCAAGAAGGTAGACATCAAGTGTGCACAAGTGTGCAAGCCATTGTGGTTCACTAGCCACGGTGGATTGTGCTTTGTAAACCTGGACTGCTTTACACAGGATGGCTTGTTTTACCCCCAACACATAAAACGCAAAGATGCAAAAAGATAACTGAAAGCAGGTAGTGACTATATCACCTCCTCTGTGGTGAGATCCTCTAGTTTTATGTGCAGACCTGACAGTCTCAGTATCTTCTACCCTCTTCTGTTCCTGAGCCTTTAGCTGCTTGGGAAAGTGGACAACAACCCACTGCCCTTACTTCTGACAGCTGTCGAAAGCAGCATCTTTGACAGGGGTACATACAGCTTTCATAACTGCATCTAACTCTGTCAAAAAACCTATGCTCAGCCCCGTTGAAAACACAGTTTTCAAAGAAAACCTTATTTTTGCCAAAAGCCATTGCTCCTGTAAATGTTTTTTCCTTCTTTTGAGCACATTGAAGTTCAAAAGCAAAATACCTTCTTGCAGCTCTCTTCTGTGCTTCACGGCTCACCATTTGATAGTGCTCAAATGAAAGAAAAATATTTGAAGCCGGGCTTGACATCCATGGAAGGTACGTAACCAGGCAAGGCTTCAAATTTTAAGAAGTTGGAGTAGTACGACTCCAAAATACCACCACAAGCAAAAAACTAACCAAAGCATTTGTGCACATTTCTGGCACAACAGGAAAGATAGAAAACTAGTGACAGCTGTTCCAATGTGCTCCTTGGGAATCTGCTACTGACTACCATTTTGGAGATCATAAAAACTCCCCTGCCCCCTAAAAAAAGCTGTGGGGAACCCATAAGCGCTTACATCCATATATGCCCAGCCGCCCCTTGAGATCTGCGGGAGAGGCCCTTCTCCGGGAACCCTCCATGAAAGAAATTAGGAGGGTAGGTACTCGGAGGAGGGCTTTCTCTGCGGTGGTGCCCAATCTATGGAATGCACTCCCCTGAGAGGTCCGCCTGGCGCTGTCGTTATTTGTTTTTCGGCGCCAGGCAAAGACCTTTTTATTTAAACGTCATTTTAATTGTTAACGATATCTGCTTATTTATCTGGCCAGGGTGACTTCTTTTTATATTGTTATTTATTTTATATTGTTAATTTTATATTGTTATTTTTGTATTTTATTGTATTTTATTGTGTTGTAAGCTGCCCCGAGGCTTCGGCAAGGGGCAGCATAGAAATGTTTTAATTAATAAATAAATAAATAAATAAATAAATAAATAAATAAATAAGGGGTCACACAGGTAAAAGTGGGAAGCCTGGATCTGCCATTCAGGTTCCTGGGATACCTGCAGGTGAACCAAGGGGGAAAGAGAAGGATGGGACAACTCATGGTGAACCTTTTCATCTGCTGGGGACTCTGTAGAGGTTGTCCCATGAACAACTCACACTATGTTGATTAGTCACAGGGTGGGTTGTTCTGCCATAGAAAAGTAACCAGCGTCTTTACATGTGGGGAGTTAATGTGGGGAGTGACTGACAGGTCCACTTTCTAAAATGCAAAGAACGTTTTCCTTGGGCCCTTTCTCTACTTCCAGCTTTTGGTGTACATGTGTACGTACTCCCCCGCCCCGCCTAGTTCTGCACCCTACAAGTGCAAAGTAATGCAACTTGAGAAAATACTTGATTTTAGAACTTGAGAGAGAATCAAGTCACCCTAAACATCCTGAGAGAAAGCATAAAGTTATCCACTGGGGGCATAAGCAAAAGGAAACACAGCTCTGAGGAGCAAAGTATACTCTCAGTACAAGATAAACCATGCTTATGTGGCAAAATTGTCTTCACTTGTAAAGGTGTCTTGATTTACTGATATAATAATATTCTGTCTATAAACTCAACATTTTAAAGGTTACTATTTATTAACATAGTCCCTGAATAAAGTTACGAATGGTGTCTGTTCTTCCACAAGCACATACGGAAGAGTTACATCATTTCTCCTTGCACAATATATGCTGGAGAATATATTAAATAAATTGATTAAATAAATTGATATAGTTAATCAATTTTTGCAGTTTGAGAGAGGAGTAAGTGAGGGCACCGTCCCAAGCTGGACTGAAAGCTCACCGTGCTGTTCTTGCTTACCTCAGAACTCACCACATGATCAATCAGTAACACCAGTTCTGCTTTGTATCAGCACTGCCTAGGCGGCACCCACCACCCCCCAGCCCCAGGAAGAGCTGGGTAAGAGCTTTCCCTTCCCACGTCTCCCAGTTGCTAGCAGGCACGGTCCGATAGCTACCCAAGAGAGACATACCCCTCAACTGAATGGAACCTGGAGGCTTTCCTCATTTGTCCTACGGTGCACTGGTCACATTTGCACAGAGCAGTTAACCAAAACAGCCAAGAACGCTGGCATATTAATAACAGGCAGGTGCGCCAGTATATGTGGAGACATCACTCCTGCTTGGCTCCTCATGCAAGTGGGAGTGGGTACAGTAACCAAGAACTTACTAATTATTTAAGCTTTTATATCTTGTTCGTTAGCACAGTTCTCTGGTAACAGTTATAAAAAACTCAGGGTTGCAATCCTCTTACAAAGCAAGATTTGGAAGTCAACTACATAATTTAACTCCAAACACAGGTCTGTGGGAGGAAAGACAAGCCAGAAGCCTGGGTTCAGATGTTAACACTAGGTCCCAACTCTGGAAAATTGTTTTCTGTGAACATAGCAGCACTTTGTAATTTTTACTCACTGTTAAAGTTGTAGTCCCATAGCTACTTACCTAGAAACAAACTAAACACACCAGGGCTTACTTCTATGTAAGCATCCACAGCAGCAAAGAAGAAGCTGCAGCCCTCCAGAATAGCTAAAGGCCAAGGATTATGGAAGTTGTAGTTCAACTACACAAGGAGGGACTAAACTTCCCAACTAATGGATCCTACTAACATTTTTCTTTAAGGTGTTTTCAAACATATTTGAGAAACACCATTACATTTGGAGCATGCAAAGCAACCCATTTGCCCAATTCAAAAGCCATAATTATTGGTATTGCTATTTCCTGCCTGTTCCCAGAGGTTGGGATGCTAGGCGGCTCACTCACCACTACTTCCTCTTCTTTCTGTTCCCCTTTTTCTTCCACTTCATCATCACTCTCTGCTTCGGCGCCATCTTCTTCATCACTGCTGGAGGATTCCAAGATTTCACGCATATCCATCTTCCAATTCACCGGTATAATTCTCAGACTGAAGAAGGAGCTTGCCTCTTGTAACCCTTCAGAGGAAAATGTCCTGTGCTTACACATTCAAGGTACTAAAAATCAAAACTGTAGTATTACCTATTGGCAGTAGCTGTGCTTCTTTGCTCAGCTATTATAATTTTCAAGTTATGCTCCCAAAATTCAATGGTCAGCTGAGAAACAGGAGGTTAAAAAGCCATTCTAAAAATCATAAAGGGGTCTTGTTCACACGTTTCTCCTTATACCAAACTGATTTGCATACATGATTGTTGGCTCTTAAATCATAATCATGAACTGCTATTCTCCATACAAGGGTATTCTAGGATTATGAAGCTAACCTGTGTCATGTCAGTTTTGCACGCAAGCAAGTCTCCAAGTCGCCAAATGCCAGGCTGGGGGGCAGATTTTTCCCAGTCCTGCTCCTAAAATTCTTTTAACTGAAAATGTAGGGATAAAAAAGCCCATTGCCATCCATGTCACAACTGAGCCTGAGAGGGAGCGAGAGCAGGGGAGTGAGATGGGGAGGAACTGGGGCTGAGGGCTTGCGGCAAATGTTACTGGCACGCTGGCCTCTCTCCCTGGCGCTTTATCTACTGAAAGGGCTACTTAAACAAGACACACGGTGTGGTGGTGGCACCTTGGTCTGTGTGCACTGTGCGTGTCAGCCGCTGAGTCCCGAGGCACACACCCAGAGAGGGCATCAAGCCCCAGAGTGCTCCCTTTGCTCTTTTAGTAACGTAAATGTTAAAATGCCGTATCTTGCCCAGGTAACTATTAAAATCACGCACATTTAAAAGTAAACCCAGTTATTGTCTAAATAAGTTTTACGTTTAATATCCCAATTACTGATAACACATTTTAGGAACTTCAAGCAATTCCAGAAACATCTGAATCATCCCAGAAGCTAGAAGGGGCAGGAACAACTGGAGGGAAAAATGCTGCACAGCATCAGCTCCTGTTTGTGAGGAACTGGTCAGAGTGGAGTTTAGAGAAATCTGGCCTGAAAAAGGGCTATGGAGAGCAACAAGAAATTACAAGTTTATTTAGTTTAATAGCCCATAGGCCATACACCATAATTTAAGAATTGGGAGCTTATTTTGCTGGGGAAGACTGTATTACCTATTAGGAATGGTAGCTAAGTAGCTTAGTTTAGTTTAAACTATAGCATGTAGCAATTAATTCTAAATAATAATTCAACATCCTACAAGCAAATTTCAACCCTATTATAAGAAGAATGCAATTTTATTTCCTATTATACATAGTTCCCTTTAATAAACACTGTAATTTTTGCTCTGTTTCTCTTTAGTAGTGGTGCTAATCCCTATTGCCTATACCACAGGACTCAGACTACCAAATTTCCTTACTGAGGTGGCTCTCAGTGGCTTCTAGCCTTGCTGGCCGTGGGCTCCCTGCTTCGCCAGAGGCAGCCTGCCTTCAAACACCGGTGGCTAAGGAGTTGGGCAGGAGGCGGCCTTGCACCCATCCTCTGGAGGGATCCTGTGGGCAGCTGGTTGGCCAGCCTGTGCATGAAGTGCTGGGCTGGAGGGATCTGTGGCCTGGTCCAGCAGGGCTGGTCTTATGTTCTTGTATAGAACTGGGGTGGGCGGCACACAGCCCCTCGTGGCCTTGACTGCAGCCCCACTGTCACCCCACTGAAATTCAGCAGTGTTTCTTTGCATGTTTTATGGCAGTGGCAGGGTAACGGAGTGTTTTTCTCGTGTGTGTGTTTTACAACTACATTCACTGACTGCTAGAGCAACTAATCAGAACAAGTGTAGAAACAATGGACTGTATAGAGCAAAATCCCAACCGACATGAATGCACATTTATCTCATGATATAGTGATTCTGGCCACATATTGGAAAGCAGAGAATGATACATTGGATCAATGATTTTGAGTAAAAAAAACTGAAGAAAAAACTGTGCCGGGAATCTTACTGAGAGGATTAAAAAGTGTTTTCCCCCTGACATGGCATGGAAATTCCCATAAATTTTACACTTCCAAAGTCTCCTTATGATGCAGTTTCTCAAAATCATTTTGGGGAACTATTGGCCAGGCAACAATATACATACTTTGTTTTAATCATTTTATTCATATTTATATGAAAAATTATTTCATAGCCCAATGTGGTTAGGTTTTCCCCATTTCTTGTAAAGAAACAAAAAATGTTTTGAAGAGGAGGTCAGCAAAGCCTTGCTTTTTTCTCATGGCCCGCCATGCCTGCATGTCTCTGGCCATCAGATGGCGTTGTTACGAGTCATCAGGACATATCCACCGTCTTGAATCTCCAAAATGTCCTGTCCTTTATCAACCCTACTCAGCAATAGACATGCCAAAAATCAGACTTAAGATTTTTAAAAAACCAAAAGACTCTGGTTTTTTAAGCAATCCATTCCCAATTTGGTGCCTTCTAGATGTGTTGGACTAAAGTTAAGGCATGCTGGGAGTCTTAATCCAATAAAAATGGAGGGCATTTGGTTGGGGAAGTCCGCTTGCATCTCCTTGAGAGTGCTCTGCCAATTGTTTCATATAGCAGTGTGGCTATAAGCCTAGAGATATACCCCAACACCTAAACTTAGTCATTTTTAACCAATATAGTATATATCATCATCATTATTATTTCTAAACTGCCCAAGAGCCAAGACTCTCTCATATCGGTGGAGTATGCCAGCATATTATACATACTCATCTACCAGTGAAAATGTCTTAACGTAAAGACACTGATTATCCAGTCATAATGAGCTTTCTTCAAAAGGCACGATACTCTGCCATTTCAAATCAAAATACACAAGTCCTCATGGCAAGGAGGAAACTACCTACAACTTGTACAAGAACCATTTCTTTCACAACTCGGGTGGGCAGAAGGTAGATCTCTGGGTGATTTGCAGATTTGCAAGAATATCTGATTCCCAATGATCCAACATTAGTATCAACTAAAATCGTTTCCCTCTAAAATGTAGGAAAAAGAATGTTCAGGGGGAAACCAGGTGTGGATTTGGGTGTCAAAAGGTATTGCATGGTGTCCCAGCAGAAGCTCTAATGGCATTGCACTACAATAAGCCAACAGAGGGCAAGTCCTGTTCTGAAGAAAACCTGACTTTCTCGCTACTACATTTCCATGTTGTGCTTTTGTGTGATGCACACATTGGGTTCACAGTAGCACAGTGCCACAGCCCCACTGGCACGCTACCTCTCCTAAGGCTGACTTATCACAATTCCTGAGCTGAGCTGAGCACCCCGTTCTTTGATTCTTAGCATGTATGAAGGCTGCTTCAGTCACTAGTTTTCACCTGGCTCTGCTTGGCTGGTTTTAGGGTTCTAGGTTTAAAAAAAAAGAACCGCCACCTGGGAGCCTGAAGTCTTCCCATCTTGGCTCCAGAACCGCAAACCCCACACACTGCAAAACACCCTTGTGGCCACAGTGCCTTGCCATGGGCACCTCCTGTGTGCATAATTGTATCAGAATCCACATGAGCCTCGGTGGTGCTTCTTGCATGCTGAACAGCACATGGCACAGCACAGGTAGCTCCCACAATGATGTCTGGTACTGATAGGCCTGATCTATTGCACCAGCAGCAACAACTGCAACTCTGTATATATTGTCATTTTCATGAATATGATAATTACTGCATAAGGAATGTGCTTATTAATTATCTAAACAGACAACTTTGAAATTTACCTTTTCTAGTAGACAACTCTTGTTTTGTAACATTTAGGATGTCTAATTCCTCAATCTCTTTTCTTGCTACTGAATAACTGCAAAAGAATGGTTCAGTTCCATTAGGTCTGGCACTCTAAAACATTGGCCAAGTTATCATTCCCCCCAAGTACTTCAGTTTAACAAGTATACCTTTGTTTATGTGTTGTCAGTGACAAAATGTGAACAATCCCCCAAAACTGAGCATTTTATTCCATTGTTTAAAGTTTAGTAGGCTTGCAAATTTTGCACATTCCACTTAACATACCAATTAAAAGGGTAAACATTAATAAGCATTTCAGCAGCTTTCTAAGTCACTAACTATATACTATTAGAAAACCCGAATCACATAAATGAAAGGATTCTGTCTAGTTTTAGTTGCCTTATTTGTGCAAGAATTCTGTACAGGCACTAGTAGACATGCATTTGACTTGATCATGGGATCAAATTCCTGTTTTACCATAAACTTACTAGTTAGGTTTGGTCTCTCAGGCTAAGCTCCCAATCTTTAAGAAAGGAACATGGACCCAACCCATATTATATGCTCACCAAGATAATAAACTTGGTGAGCATATAATACTTTAAGTTCTGTTAAATGCTGCAAATAATATCATTCAAGCTTCACCTCTCTATAAAAAGCAGACTATGCATCAGCACTGACACTGACTTGTCACAGGGTTCCAAAAAACAGCCTTTTTTAGCCCTCTTGGGAGATGGCTGGGACTTCTGTTGGGTAAATCAGTTGCTCTGCCTCTGAACCATGCCCCTCCCCGAGCTTAGATCCCTGCTGAACAGTCAGCAGCCCTAGAGTTCAGGGCCATTATATGCATTGTGTTCAAAGGCCATTTTGGGTCTGGCGTGTTTTGTTAACAAAGAAAATGAAAATAGTATAGATGACCTTTCATTCTATCACACGGTAGCTTTTGTTTTTGAACTGTAACATGCTGGAACACCTTCATCTGTATCAAAGACTTAGTGATATGGATTCTAAAATGTCACCGAATGGGTTAAGAAAGGCACACAAGTAACAGGCGACGTGTGTTTCTAATGCTTCAATATGCTCTCTTTACTTCCTGTTCAGTTCTTATAGTAAGCAGATGCAGAGTTCAGGCACTCTGCCCAGGGAAATGACGGTTCGTCTGATGGCGGGCTCACCAGAACACAGGTCCTGTTGCCAACAGGTGAATAAAGGTTGCTCTGACATGAAAGCCATTAAGCAATACAATTATAGCCAAAAATATCAGTTTTTAAAAAGCTACACACATGTGAAGAATCCTGTAATGTTAAGTCTAGATCTCCAACTGGTTACTTTTCACCAGGAGCCTTTCCGACATAAGGAACTAGGGTGAAAGCTTTTTTTTTTTTAGGTTTTTTTGCGTCAACAAAAAAAATTATTAGATAATTTTAAGGCAGAAAGCTATGCTGTGCAATGCTGTGCAATTTAAATGTAATCCAAGCATCTCCTTTTGGTCCATATCTGCAGTATTACTGAACATTTCAAATTTACAGACTATAAAATGCAAGGTAATACTCTGTATGAAACCCAAACATGCAATTCATCTTGCAATCAAGTCTTCCAAAAAAGTCATGTTGATCTTTAGGAATTAATAACATTATCTAAAACTGTGGATGATTTTATGCTTGCCCAGTTATATATTCAAGGCTGTCATTCTGCCAACATGCCGCTTCTTTCACTAGTAGTTCTTGTTCTAGTGGCAGGTGTACAACTCCAGGAAGAACACCAACTCCTGTGATTTTTCCATCAACATAACATTGGAAATGACCCTCTGCCTTAATTATGACATCCCTGCGTTAAATGTGGATGACAGAATCATGTCGAAAATGTTCTGACATTTTGGGGTTGTATTCTTTGTTACAATAGTTTATGGATTTATTTTGCTGCAGCCTAAGTCTAAAAAATTTACTCACAATTTGGAATCTGCGAAAGATCGAACTAAACACTGGTCCTTTTTCACTGAAATGTCATCACTGCAGCTGGGGGATAAGACCTGGAGATTCAAATGAAACACATCAAATTGGCTTTTTAAAAATTCCTTCTCCTAAGGAAAGGATCAGCTTGCATAAATACATTTTTCATCTGCATTATAGCAACTCCAGGAGCGACTGTTAATTCTCCAGAAGAAATCTACTCCAAGTAATGACTGTGCATGGAGAAACGTTATTCTCCCTCTTTTATAACATTGCAAGTCACTCAGTAAAGACAGAAGTATGTTTAGGACAGATCCAAAGTACTCCACACAATGAATTATGTAACATATGAAAATCACTGCCACACTTGCCACAGGTTTGGATTTTTTTTTTTTTCAGGGTAAGACAATTTCGTACAAAATGGGTCCAGCAATGGCTGTTAGCCAAGATAGCAGAATGTACGGAGAATGCAGACCTGTGGAAAAACTTGGAGAAAGGCAAGCACATTCTAGCTGGCTTTTGGCTGGTTACTGTCAGAAAAAGGATGGCGCTCCAAATAGAGCTTGGACTGATCCAGCAAGATAATTATGTTTTTGAAATACTGTCCATCTCCCTTCGAACACAATACAGACAATTATCCAGAGAGTTGCAAACTTGGGCACAGATCAATGTTAATTTCAACCCTCACAAAAAGAAGCACAGTTATGCATCTGCAGTTACATCCAAGATCAAATTGGCTCAGATTTATGCTTAAAGGCAGCAATCCTGGTCAGCTCCTTAACATGCAGGGCTAAAAATCTGTGACAAAGGTCATCCACAGTAGTAAGACAAGCTTAAGACATCACCTTGTATGCGCAAACTTCTAAGCACAATCATAGGGTAATATTTCTTGATTTTGTTCTTTTCTGGGTGCACACTGCCTTATGGATGTGTATCCACATCACTGGACTGGGAAACACCACCCTTCTTTTGTTAAGGGACTGCTCGAATTGCGCAGTTCTCAGAATTAGAAGAGTGACTGCATTTATGTTAAACAGCACCAGGAGTTATACATGGAAGCCACTAAATGCAGCTGCTTCCAAAATGTTATATGAATTCTTGTAATCAAACTTCTTCCTAATTGCACCCTGAAATCCTTCCCCTACCTGCACATTCTTCCACTTGGGAGAATTATGCCAAAAGGAAAACTCCTCTAACCAGACAGCATTCCAGGGACTGCCAATGCACTCTCCTCTGCTAGTTACAAAGATCTCTAAATCTGCATATTATACTTTTTTTAAATATGTATCTACAGATGTAGGTTGTCCAAGTCACAAACGAGTTCTGTTTCTGAGAAAATGGAAATTTGTCTTTAAGTCAAATTTGTATGTAAGTCGAATCACATACAGTCAGCCCTCCACATTTGCAGGGGTTAGGGGCTGAGGCCCCCATGAAAGTGGAAAAACCACGCATCTCTCTACTCCACGCCCGAACTCCGAACTCGCCAGTACTTCCTCTTTGCAGCAAGGAAATGCCAGAGAGATTTCCCTCTCCAGATGGGTGTAGCAGGAAGGCATGTTTTGCAGGCCCCACACTCCCCATGCTGATGGCAATTTTCTGCCGTAATTTTTAAAATTAACAGCCTGCAAGACAGTTCATTCGTAAGTACCGGTTGTTCATAACGTGGACATTCGTAACTCGGGAACCGCCTGTATTCAATTAAGAGACCAGCTGCCATGTGACGCCTCTTCTCCCTCCGCCATCATTTAGCAGCGATTCCACCTGACTGCAGCAGCAGGAGAGGCAGGACACCGAGGCCACTCCGACGTTGCGGTGAGGATGGCTGTCATTTGACTGTTTGCATTCAAGCCAGAACATGGTACCTGGAAGCGCTGGCAAATGTGTTTGTTCCCCTCTTCCCTTGTCTCCCTTTCCCACTGGGTCATTTATTTTGACCTGAAAGCTTGCAGGTAGAGCTGTCTTACTTTTAATCTGTGCACAGCACCAAATAACTTCCTACATTTTTAAAAAAAGTGTTTTAACAGTAAAAATTGCATAACCACCTAACATTTACATCCCCTATGAAAGGTCCCCTCCTCTGCCCCAAGCAACAACAATACATTAGAAATCCTGAAAGGCTATTGTTAACCAGGAAAACACAAATATGAATGCAAAAACAGGAAAAAGGAAAACCCCGGGGCAAGCACTAAGATTCCACTCATGTCTAGAGGAGGAATCACTGCAAATCCAAAGGGAGGGTTGGTTGTTTTTGTTTAAAGACCATCAAGGTCAGTCACCAGGGTTAGCAAGACAAGGTTAGTAAGAGTTTTTTTAAAGAGTTACATTTCCTTACCTTCTCTGGAATCGACTAACCTTGATCCCTAAAAGTTAATCCAAATAGGTGGCTCTTCGAATGTTTTAAAGTTTAAAAGGTGCTCAAGTTGCAGGTGGGGGGGGAGGGGTAAATGTGCCCTTTTCTCTCTGCAACTGAGCCTGATGCAGATACAGCACCAAGATGTGGTGGATTTCACAGATTCAGTGAGGTATGAGAAAGAAGGCAATCTTCAATTGTATTTTTAAAAAATTAAGTGGGATTATTTCAGCAAACTGATTATCTACTCAATTATTATTTGCTCAAAATGAAAGCATATTCCAAGTATATACAATTTCTTTAAACCAAATTCACAACTGTCAAACATCATTTTTAAGAACCTGCTTTTCTATTAAAGCAACACTGGACAAAAACCTATGTTAGTGAATTGTAAATTTTTTACTTATTTACGGTACTGCTTAGACTGCTAGGCAAAGAGCACGGAAGTATATTTGCCATCTTATTGGGGGTAGGGGAAGACCCCCTGGTCCTCACTTTCAGTAACTTCTATGTGTTCTGCCTTCCAGGAAGCGATTCTGCTTCAAGGTATGCTAAGAAAGCAAGACAGAAATCCTTCGAGTTTCACCACGGCCCCCATGCAGACATCAATGACAAAGTCAGGGCCACCTCTGGCAAAACACAGCCTTTCAAGGTTGTCACCTCAGGATCTGAATCAGAATGGGAAGAAAAATTGTTAGCTGAAATACCAAGCCCAGCAGACCCAGTGATCATCCAAGAAGTCAATGAAAACCAGATCATGCCAGTGGAGGCAACTGTCACATGAGCAGTCTCAGAGTCTGGCACCAGATCAAAAGGGTAGTGTCGGCATCCCTGCTGTCTGGAACCACCCTGAAGGTGGAACCAAGCCCTTCTGATTGGGAAGGGAGTGGTTCAGATTAAAACCAACTATTTAGCATTGATAGCTGGTGTTGCTAGTGTTTTCATCAATGGTTTCTGCAATATTCCCTTTTTGTATCACAAAGGCAGCCTAGCTTGCCAGTTTCAACATAAGACAGTAGTTAAAAGCCCCTGCCATACAATGCTTGGAAGGTCGAGGGAAGACATTCAATTCCATAATGAAAAAGGACTTGGTTGACCAACAGTTGTGGAATAGGATTTGGGTAGTAGCTACCAGATACTGGCACTTTTAATTGTTTTAACAGGCAAGTAGGGTACACCCTTGTTCGTGAAACATAAAATAGGAAACAGTCCTCAACACGTACCAAACTAGAGTTTTTAGGTTCCTACAGTGTATGCTACCTTTAGCTAAAAATAATTTTAGAATTCAATAGTACTCAATATAAAAAGCACTCAAGCAACATTAACGCACATGCACACAGAGAAGCAGCTGTGATTTTTCACACCAAGCTCTGGAGTAGGCAGGCAGAAGGCCACAAGCTATTTCTGCTTGCTCCAAAACTCAAGTCCTTTACAAGGTTCCTATGGTAGGACAACCTAGTGTGGGTGACAGACCATCGTAGGCTGTCATGCTGAGTAAACAGACTGCTCCTGGCAGGGTGCTTGCTCCTGGCCAACAAGATGCTGGACCCACAACGCGCTGTCCTGTTGCCTCAAGCTGGGCGACGGCCCCATCCTGGGTGGGGAGAAGCACCGATCAAGGACCCTGCAGAAGTGGCGGAACTCCTTTTGCCATTCCCGCCAGCCTCGCCCACTTGCCACGACCAGCCACCCCGTAAGCGTCCAAGCACTGCCTGGAGCTCCGTGACCCCGCTCGGATCCAGCTCTTTTTGTTCACTGCGTCTCCCTAAACCTTTCCCAACTCGAGACATCCTGAATAGCGATCTTTAAACTGAAAGTCCGTGCCAAGAAGCGTTTAAAATAATGCATGGTGTGGAGAAAGCGGAGATGCATAGATTCCACTCCCTTTCTGTTCATGCTCAAGCCCGGGCTCATCCCCTGAAGCTGACTGGCGGGAGGTGTAGGACAGATAAAAGGAAGTACATGACACAATGTATAGTTAAACAGTGAAGTGAAGTGGTGATGGCCACCCACCTGGATGACTTTAGAAGGGGATTGGTCAGATTCATGGAGGAGGAGGAGGAGGAGGAGGAGGAGGAGGAGGAGGTGGTCCATGGCTACCAGCCTTGCTGGCTATGGGCTACCTCCTTTACCAGAAGAGGCTCGCCAGCATATACCAGTTGCTGAGGAGCTTGGACAGGCAGAGGTCTTGCACCGTCCTGATTGAGCGATCCTGTGGGCAGCTGGTGTGCTGCTGGGTGTAGGGCACGCTGGACTAGATGAACCTTTGGCCTGTTCCAGCATGGCTTGTCTTACGTTCTTAGGTAATGCTCCCAAATTTTCCACCCATTCCTGAGACCCCAGGTGCACAGGAATGTGGAAAAGTGCTAGCTTCCCTTCTGCTTGCTCTTATTTTTGATAGGTGTCAGAAGTGAGGCTTTCTTTGAAAACAGGGATTTAGACAGGGCTAAACAGGCAGTTTGACAAGGGAGGTAGATATGATTCGGTACTAGCAGACACAAGGATATTTGTGTGAACCTAACATATCTTTGATTCAGAAGTGAACAAAAGTAGCATGAAGATTCACACTCCAGATAGCAGGCTAACAGAATCTAGCTTTGTAGTGGAAGGGAATACAAAGTTGTAAGTTCTTGGAAATGTTGAAGATTAATTAGCACTTTTAAAAGCACTTCATATGTTCTTTTTTCTGTTTTTCAAGAAATGTTGAAGGAGCTTGAGAAGGATCGCTTCTTTTGATTTGCAGAGGAAGTCTGACAGAATTTGGTTATGCTTTAAATGTTAACTCCAGCTTTGTTGAACAAGAGCTGAAAGCTAAAATCATATCAAAAAGGTGTTTTGACCTGATGAGTTCCTCTCCTTTGAGAAGCATTTAATTTGTGTGGCTTATTATGAGTGCCCTAGATACGCTTTACTTACCAAAGCTGGATACCACTCTGCCTCTTCGGAACTGGGTGTCACACTGACAACTTTACCAAGCAATTCATCAGTAAGACGCCGCTTATCATCCTCCTCCTCCTCGCTACTTTCTTCCTCTTTTTCATCTTCATTACTAGAGGATTAAGCAGTGATTCAGACAGCTTGAGTGTGGAGATAACAGCCAAAAGAAGAATACAACCTCATCAAAGCCGCTGTATCTTGGACTCAACACCTCAGGAGTTCCTGCTTGGCAACCCCCATGTTCCGCAGAAAATGATCAGCACAGCTGGGATTCCCAATGCTAACAAATATAGGTGCTGCTACACGGAGGACCAGACACCCTAGGACCTGTGTGCCACTGCCCCACCTGTAAAGCTACCAAAGCTACAGTTCAGTGGATTCAAAGGATTACACTGTTCCTAGGTTCTATGTCACTCGGAAGTCCACTGCTCAAGATCCCGTCTTGCCAGCTAAAGTCTTTCTCTGCTCCCATCTCCATGCCTCTTCTCTTCACAGTCTCCTCTTCTGAAGATACTGTAACTGCCTTCAGAATAAAGGAAGGATGCATCTATTAAGAGCTTAAGAAATCCAAAAATCCTGTACCAAAAATAGTCCTGCACTACGAAGAGCTGAACTCAGCAACTTACCATATAAATTATGCAAATTCTCAAAATGTTACTATTTTTAATGACATTTTTCTACTTCTGATAGTCACTATAGCAGGCAGCTTTACAGAGCATTGAAGCTCTGTCCTCTGTTCATTCCCATTCCAGTTTCTTCCTCCACCACAATTTTAAACTTCACATGGCAACAGAGGCTAGAAACTTGTGTTACCTTTAAAGCCCAAAGATGTGGTGGCTGCAGAATTCAACACACACAGAATCCTGGGACACATACAAACTTGCTCAGAGCCAAAAAGGTTACACTTCCTCTGCCTGTGCATCCCAGACTAGAATTTCTGCAACTCCCTCATGCAGCTTGATCTTCAACCTGCTCCTACCAGAATAATTTATTCTATTTCAGAGGAGGATGGGAGGAGAGGCAATGGAGAAAGCCCAGTACATTTGGGCTGCCTGTTCCTTCTTCGTCTCAGAAGCTGTTCACAGACTGTAATCTTTATGGGCAACAGGTGCCTCCTTCTGACCTGCACCCAATCAATCAGTCGGACTAGTTCTATGCTGCCTGGAATTGCAAGTCTTTGGGCTTGTTGCTGTTCTTTTACAGCAATTTCGCCCATGCCAAAACCTTGAGAAGGAAGAACATTGTGGAAGCAGTTTCTGATGTGCCCACAGTGGGACGTGGGAGACATGTGCCTGCCTCTGACTGGGAGGTGAGGTGCCTAACGCAGGCTTTTGGGTTCCACTCTGATTCCTGCATATTATACCATGCTGTTGCAACTAAACAAACGTTTAAGGGTAGCAATCCTAAATGGAGAGAAAGCACAAGATAACTTCCTGCAGCTGTTCTGCTCCTTACAGGGGAAGCTCAAAAGACAAAACCCCCCTGACTCACTCCCTGCACAGGAAGACGTGAGCTCCTTAATTTTGAGAAAAGCTCATTAAGCCCGTTAAGGAAATACCACATTATGGAACACTCACACAGGGAGAGAGGATCTCCTTCCTCGGTTGGATTTCTTCCCAATCACTGGTGTTCCAAAGTGCTCTGGGTTTGTTAGTGGCAGTTGGTCAAGCGTCTGGGGGAGGGAGGGAAAAAGACAGCTTACTAACTTTCCAATTTAAAAATGTTTAAGAAACTAACTTGCAGCTTTACAGTTAACCAACCTACCTCACTTTCTGCGAAGTGCCTCTCTCCCTTCAAACACAACGATGTCCTTCGCAACGTCCTCTCGTCACCATCATCAAAGACTAAAACGAAAGTCAAATTAAAAAATAGCATCAACAGGCATTTTATTTGTTACAATTATATCCTGCTTTTCCTCCAAGGAGCCCAAGGTAGAACATAATTAGACTGCAGGTATCTTCTGTCTTTCCCTACCTCTTGTAAGGAACCTGAGGCAGCTTACATCTCTTCCTCCACTCTCTTTTATCCTCACAACAGCAACCCTGTGAAGTACACTAGGCTAAGAATCCATCACTGGCCCAAAATCAAACTAGAACTCTATCCTCCTGGGTCTCCAAGTCCAACTCTCTAACTGATATGCCACACTGGCTCTTGCTCTAAAACACAGCTGAATGAAAAGTGCAAAACAAGCAAGCAAGCAAAATTCCACAGAAGAGTTACATTGCAAGAGAGATAAATCCACAAAGACTGGCAGACCTTCTGGTTCATGGATTCAAATGCAATTTTAAGGCTATACCAATGCCGACTTTGTCACAGTTATTCTTTTTAAAATAAGGACATCATATGTACGCCCTGCCCCTACACAGAGATTGAAATGGTTCTGATCATCTTGCTTTGGAGCTTACACATTATTATATATTAAAAACTTGTTCTCATACACACTTTTCATATACGTTTTTCCAATCATATTTTGCCCCACAAATCGCCAAAATAAAAACTTTCATTAAAGCCATGAGATCCCACACCATGAGCAGTTCTTAAAACATGTAGGACACTGATTAACATATGAAGATTCGATGTATTTTCGTTAAGAATGGAAGCCTGGAACCAAACCAGGAATTATGCTCAAGAAATCTTCCTTCTCAGCAAAGATTCAAAACAAAATACTAACTGAATATGCATCTTGAGCTGGGCAAAGAGCCACATCTACGTAACTGTAGACAGGATACATAAAATGGTGACTGTCAAAACATCCTCCACTTTCTGAGATTCAAGAGTCTTCTTCCCTTCAACATCCCCTGGAAGGAAACTTTCAAACCTCTTCTGTATCCCTAACCAACCCTCATCTGGAACTGTATCCCAGAGCTTGCATTTAAATACACCCATCTCCTTTCAAGCACAACCATTTCTGTTCTGGCAGAAGGCCAGCTACACCAGCAACTCTAGCACGGTTCATCGTCAACTTCCAGAAGCAGTTGCCAGAACTGCAAGTCCCAAGGCCCCCTACAACTTCCAAAGCAACAGCAAAAAATGTAGAAAGTCAAGAACTTTGTGCTTAGAAATGCCTTGAAAGATTTGAGATGCATTCCCCTCCCCATGTCTCCTTTGTATGTCTGGAGAGGCATCTACTGCTGAAGTGCTTATTCAGAAATGGGAACAGAAATCATGCTTTCTAAGATGCAGCTGCCCAGGCAATTGGGTTAGAGTTTGAACAAGATCAGAAAATCTCTTGAGTAGACACCTGTGAGTCTCCTGGCTGGGATAAAGGAAATGCATCACAGATCTTAAAACTGCACAATCCCTTGAATTGAACTCAGGGAAGCCTCAATTATGACATGTAAGGATGTGCAGGGTTGATGGTTTGTGAAATTGATGTTCAAGCTGCTATACAGCCAAGTCGGTTGAATCAGAAAGATTAGTTAAAGATAAGCCAAACAATGCATTAAATCTGCTTTGATCCAACCTTCTAAGAACTACTCAAGGCCAGCTGAGAGCCAAATGAAGACAAACAGCATACAAATGAACAAACTGCATACTGCCTTTTCCCTGTGCTAAGAAATTAATTACATTTCTACCCCACCACTAGCCAAAGCTCTGTGGTTCACAAAACTAACTTCAAACCAACACAGTAGCATGTAATTAAAAAAATTTGCTGTTAAAATCAGAGTAAGAATCCTGATAAAAGCTACCAACTGTATCATCAAGATGCAAACTCACAATTAAAATGCTTTCAAAGCAAAGGGCCAGATCACCTGTGGAAACCAAAACATACCCTAAAGACTAGTGTTGGTGCCAAGCAGCTGCCCTGGATCCGTACTGGAAAGCTGGGAGGGGACCAATGATGATAATCCAGTGCTGATCCTCGATCAGATGCCTCTCCGCCATACAGACAGATCCTACCTGCTGCTACAGCAGAACAGCCCCATTCTATGTTGAACTGGGTGTACTAAAGCGCAGTCATTTCTTCAAGCACAAGCATGTAGGTATATTCATTCGTGCAAGATGAAGATGGCTTCCTGCACTCTGCAAATATACCAACTTTACAGCATAATATTCTGTAAAAAGTGGCAAGCCATTGTTTTTCAGCCTAAGAAAAGGAGCCAAAAGATATACAGAAGCAGTGTTTCACTGAGCCAACGTTTATTGATGTGATTACTTTTATTTAATCTGAAAGCATGTTGTCTCAGAATAGTGCATTAAGTAAACAGCACATGTTTGCAATGCTTCTTAGACTCGGAAAAAACTATAGGGCGTAATCAACCCATAGTTACACAGAATCCATTTCCCCTGTTCAGACATGCAGCAGTATAGGAAAACAATGGATTCTAATAGGTATCGAATCACACCTGTCTAGAAAAGGAGGTGATGAGACAGAAAAGATAGTGCAAAAAGCAACACAGTTTAGTAATATATGAAATAAACAGTGTATTTCCTCAATTAGAAATTTGGACCGCACCACTGTTATTGGTATTGCACGAAGGAGGGACAAACATCTGGCTCCTAAATGCCAGTTTTTTACAAACCACTCTTCCATCGTTTCACCTCCCACTCTTTCCCCCCAGTTAAGTATTCCTTGCCATTTTAAATCTCCTTTCTTTTTAATCTGCTTCACATGCAGCCTCCTTCAAATTAAAGCCTCTCTTAGCATGACCCTTTCAATACACTTAACTGTTCTTAAAGTGTACATTGTCAAGGAGCCATAAATTAAGGATTCCTAAACAAATAGTTGAGAGACGAGTATTACTGCTTCTTTTCCCAGTACTAAATAGACCCCTGAGTCCGAGATATTGCTAATACTTTAATTTTATATTGCAGAATGTCGAAAGCACACCATTCCCACCCCTTGAGGAAGGTATTGTTTACTGAAATGCATAAAATAAAAGTACAATGAAGAATGGGGAACCAGAAAAAGGAAAACTAAACTGTCTTTCTTACAAAACATGACTAGTCCATTTCTTTACAGGGTTTATGTCTGAAGAGCATAAAGGGCATGATGCTTTGGCACTATCCCCTTCCTCTTCAAGGAATTCAGGGCAGCTCCCCATTTCATGCTGTGAGGAAGAATAACTCAAATGATGTTAATTGCCCCAAGGTCGCCCACCGAAGTGAATGGCCAACTGGAGATGTAAACCTGGCTCTCCACTACTTATTGAACAATCTATTCACCCTTTGTGTGATCATTTGGGGGCACAGGTATCGTTTTTCAGAGTAACACAGAAAAGAGCAACATAGAAAAGAACTTGAGCTGTTACCCCCATACTGCAGACGAAGGGCTTGTAGGTAAGACCACCTAGCCAACTCATGGCTGAGATGAGATTTGTCCTGTGTTTACATACCTAGAAGATCTACATGACATTTATTCCCTCTTCTTTGGATCTGCCTATCTTGCATCTCACATGAAATGAGCCACCATCAGCCTGCTTGATCCCCTGCTTTTCACCTTTGCACAATAGCTTGCTTATATGTTGCTGAGGTAGACGAAGTGGCCCAACCTAGTTGAGAGACTTTAGACAGACACTTCTCTTATAGACAAAATGCAAGTGTACTTATTTTAAGATCTGCTGGGCAGTCTGTACTGACGACAACTCAGCTTACTTAACTATGCTTAGGTCTCTAGCCAGGCAGGCCTGCTGTCAGTGTGTTTAATGCAAAATTAAGTTCTGCTACATTCAGTCAGACCTGCTCGTCAGTAAATATTTGTAGGGATGCATCCTTCAGATGCAACACCACAGAGTGGTATAGGAGCTGCTTCCTCTACTGCCCATTGCGTGTTCCATTTTCAACAGCAGCCTGCTAAATGCCTTTGGCAGCTCAGAAGCAGGGTAAAAAGATGGGCCGTTCCCTATTCGTCTTCAGCATGCCGTCCTCAGAGGGATACTGAAGCTTCATTCTGCGGTTTTGGCTAATGCCTCTTGATAGACCAACCACCCATGACTTCGTCCTTTTTAAAGAGGCGCATAAGCTAATGACCATCTTGCAGCAGTGACTTCTATTCCATTTATGTACCTTTTACTCAGCCTCAAATGAAACTCAAATGTCAGCCTCTCTTGCAGTGCTGCTAGAAAAAGTGATTTGAAGTGACATGGACTGTGCTACACTCATCTGAGTAAAAGGCAATATTATTACGGCCAGTTTGCCAAAAGCAAAGACATTCTGGGCTTGGATGGGAAGTTAGCCTTCCACTCACAGAAAGGTTCTTTCAATGCACCAAAACCTGTTGATCCAGAAGATACCAATGATGGGGAGAGACCATTTCCTCTGATTCCCCCTCACTGCAGTCAGACTGTCCCACTGCTCCCGAGTAGATTTAAGGGGAGAACCTGGGAGTGCAGGGAACGGACAGTGAACACTGTCCCTTCATCAGCAGAAGTGCTCCAAGGACAGAGCTCCATTCCTGACACGTTTCCTGCTGGTAAAGCTGATATCTGAATCTGTGCCACTGTTTCTTCCCCCCATAAAGCTGGTGCCACCAAGGAACAGTGCACATTCTTTCCTTTATAGATTTTAGGGTGTTTCTTCCTCCCACATTTGGGTTACAATGAAAACATGTAAGGGTTTAATTACAAACCAGATGCCTTATTCAGGTAAAGGTAATTATTCATTATAGCATATGGCTGCAACCCTACTCACTTGTATGCTCAATTAAAACCTAAATCTAAATCTTGGCATCTATCTGGAAACAAACACTAGCTTCTAAGCAGAAACGTGCAACAAAACAACAAGAAACGGTTACTTGCAATAAGCTACTTGGCCCGTCAATCCAGTCCATTTTCAGTAGGCCAAGGGGACACTATCCAAACCATAAGGTTCATATTCTGAACAAAGCAGTGCTAGTGTCTGCTTAAAGCGTACACACCCCAGCCATTTCCAGAGGCATGTCATATTTTAATGCATTCCCCTGTCAAATGTTTTATATCGTACAAGGAAGCAAAATCAGGGCAAAGTACAGAAAGCCTTTTCTGGACGTCACACACAGGGCTTAAAGCACCAAATCTCATAAAGTTTAGTTACTGCAAAGTTTACCAGAACAAATTCCCAGTTATAAGCCTATTTTAATTCTTATTTCTTAGTACTGGAGGTTGAATCTGATTATCACTACGGTCTTGTCCTTGACACTTGCATAAAACAGTCTAAGAGCATATTTAAGTCATTCTTTCAAAGATCAATATTTGATCAAGTAATAAGTTTGCAAAGTGCTTAGGAAACCTTCTGAAGAGGCAACTTACAAATAAAGCCTTTGTTTTAATGGGATGAAGACTGTTTCAGATCTATGCAATTATCTCTCAGCAACCCGTAGGACATTCTAAACTTATAAATCCTATTCATTAACAACACTATAGCACTCTTTAATTCAAAAAGCCAATTGAAAGCCTTTAAACTACTCTTATTTTGTAAATTTTATCTGCCAGACTAAAGAGACACTGCAGTCATTGATTTTTCAAGTGGCCAAGACTACATGTGTGCACACTGAGGGCACCATCCTATGCAGGTTTAGACAGAAAGAAGTCCTGCTACACAGCTGACTGGGGAATGCTGGGAGTTCTGTCCAAACATGCGTAGGGTTGTGTCTTAAGCTTTCTAACAGTGAGTCCAACTATTGATTTGCTGAGCTCAGTGGCTCCAAAACTTTGATCCCCAGAAGTTTCCAGAGAACAATTCTGTTATCCCTCGGCCCTTGGCCTTGTTGGCTGAAGATGAGGGGAGATAAAGTCCAACAGCATCTGGAGACCCAAGCTCAGTGGACACTCGCTGCATTCTTACTATTTGTGGTTGCTCTGCAAGAGCCTGGGTGTCTCTCATACCGGAAGCCCGTGTAACCAGAACATCCAGGGAGTGGGCCTGGCATGTTCTACATGCCAAGAGTGTGTTCTACCACCCAGTCATTCCTCTGGAGAACATAAGAAAAGGGAGAGAAAGTATCTCGTATCAGCCAAAGAAACTGACCTTCATGTAACTTTGTGGTCAGCTGCTAATTATACTGTTGGTGCGTTTCTGAAACAATCACTCAGCTTCTGACCAGCATTACCAGGCCAATGATACAACAGCTGCACACATGCAACAAACCAATTCTGCACCTTTCTCAGGGCTCCGACCAGACAAAAGGACACCAAATTCCAGTATTCCTGCTATGTGAACTATTTTATTAGAAACCACCTTCTACTCTGGCTTTGTGGTTAGGGCTAGTAGATATGGGAGTGTGGGCAAAATCGTCCATCTTGGCCTTCCAAAGGCCTCGCAACAAGACTGCACAAGTTACTATTTGCCCACACAAATCCACATTTGTGTCCAACAACAGGAAAGAAGGTTCTCTGCCTGGAAGCAGCTCTTGCCCATCTACACCAAGTGGCCGTTTATACGCTTGGGTTATAGCGTGCTTCACCATATTCAGAACCACACCCCTCCTTCTCTAGCCTTGCGTTCAAAAGCACCTCCAACCATACAAATGGCAACAGCGAAGCTCTGTGTGCCGCCACGATGAACTCTACATAACTAATTAAAACCAATTCTTCCTCAATCGGGTGCTTCCTAAACCAAAGTCCAGCTTTTCCTAAGGTGCCGAGCCTCAAAGCTACTACTGCAATTATTTCAACAAAGGCTGAGAAACAACACGGACAACTAAGGTGATCCGAGATGAAACAGCTCCCCTGTTAGGAAGAGTTACAGTATTGCGGGCCTTTGACTAAGTAGGGGAAGACATGAGAGTGGTCTATACAGTTATGCACGGTTCAGGTATAATAAATAGAGTAAGTTTTTCTCCTTAGAAACAGTGTCAACTAAGAAAGCTGATTGGTGGGAGATTCGGGACAGATAAAAGGGAGTGCTTCTTTATACAGCATTTAGTTAAACCATGGGATTTGCTACCGCGTGACCTAGTGATGATTACCAGTTTGGATTGGTTGTACAGAACAACTGTTTGGAGGACAAGCTATCAAGGGTGACTAGCTGCGATATCAATCTATTGCTTCCAGTACCAGGCACGGTACGCACATCCGCCACCAGGCACCTATGCAAGAGGTTTTAGTGTGTCCATGTCTCCTGTGTGGACTTCCCACTGGGCATCTGGCTGGACACCCTGTGAACAGAATGGTGTCCTGGGCAGGCCTCGGGTGCAGCACTGGGCACAGCGCTTAAGCTGTTAACATAGCAGGTTAAGAACACACAAGGCATCTATAATTCAGTTCCTCCATTTCCGAATGTGGATAGGAAAATCCAGCAACGGCATCTTCTTATAAAACACTTCCCACATGCAAATCTAGCATGTCAGGGGGGAAAAGTAGGCCAGAATCCCTCTTGCAGAGATGCTACTACTGTACATTCAGGGAGATGCTTTTGCTGTGATTGAACAACAGGTACAACAACTGGACCACTGGCACTACCACTGATCACAAATCATGATTTAACTCGACAAAGTAACAGATGTGTTATTTCTTAATTCTGGAAGACCCACTAAATATCGGGGCCCAGTGGAAACACCATGTTGCTTGCTTGGGTTTCTTTGCCCCAAGTGACCACTGGGACCACTTTGTCCCAAGTGTAACCAGCATGTTGACATGCCAGTCTTCTCCATCAATTTATTGATTTCAGCTGTTATGTTCGGCAAAAAAGTCTTCTGCAGAAATACTATGCTTCTGCCCTGCTCCAACAGGGGCCTGAAAAGAGGTATTCCAACTCTTCTCATAGTCCCCTTCATCAATCTAAACTACTCCGCCAGATTTAATAATTTCCATTATTGCAAACACCGTATTTTAATGGCAATCCGCTTGTTGTTCTCGCTGTTGCTATTTTTGTATCTCACCTATTCCCAGTGATTGGGACTCAAAACTTTAAAACTTATACAATTAAAAAATAAATTAAGTTAGGAGAATTGCACAGGAAAATAAGATGCCTGGAGCAGAGAAGAACCAAGATGCATGCTGGTAGTAATGGAATGTACTTTGGCGCTGGAAATAGAGCAAGCTAGTTACTCACCTACAGTATACCAGCTGGCGTCTGTCAGTTTACTGATGGTGGCTTCTTGAAAGGATCCATCAGGCATCCTGGTTTCAACAATTGCACCAGCCTATAAACAAATGTTCAAGGCAACACTTTATGTCCTCTTATAAATACTTTTAATAAAACACCTAGTATTGTAGTATCTTCCAGACTTTTGATATCTGGGGCACAGGATTTTAACAAAGACATTAAATTACATGGATTAAAAGTTGAGGCAAATTTACACTTAACAGTGCTTTTACAGAAGCCCTTCTACAGCCTCTGCAAAAATGCCATTTTCCATTCAACAGTGAGACAGCTGCATTAATATGGCTTCTCAGTGACTCTTGGTCTCCCCTCTGCCCAATCAGTCAAAGCTAAAGGACTTGGCAAGAGAGATAAATGTGGGATACTCTCAGACACGTCAACTGAAGCACAGTTTCTGCCTCCTAATTCTCTCCCTCAGTACTTGAGTCATGCACTGGCAATGAGAATAGGGAGAAAATCAGTGCTAAATAGGGCCTCCACGGAGCCCTTGGATATATCTAACCCAATGGCTCAATTTTCATGGCACGTCTCTTTTGCAAAAGGGGTAAACAATGGCCTACAGCAACAGTCGTTTTAAAGGCAACAACTTTTTAAAGAAATAGATCAAAGACCCTCGTTTCATAGAGTATTAGTTACACTGAAAATGTTTTGATTTCACTGAACCTCTCTGAACTGGGACCTGTGCGCTTTTTACTGGGAGTTGAACCATGTGTATTTCACAGAACCAAGAATGGGGACTATTCTACCAAAGGCCACACTTTTGAACTAAAACTTTGTATCAAGTTAGGTGCCTTTGAAAGAAATAGTTACATAAATGTATACACATCAGTGAAATGAATGCTAGTATCCCAATTTTGACTATATTTTTCTTTTTGTGAATAGTACTCTCAATTTTTGACTGAGCTGTTTATAAATCTTTCATGTAATATTGCACTGAAAAGCTATACCTGTAAGAGCAGACTAGAAATGTGAATATATTCAAATCAATTTGAATCAAATAGTCAACCAAATGAAAATAATTATTTCTGAATGTACTGATCTACTTGAAGAAAACATGCTACATACATACCCTTAAAGGTCCTTTCACTTGGTCATCTTGCACTAATTGTGTTGAATTATCTTGCTTTAAGATTACCTAAAAGTTTTGAGAAAGATTTCAAAGAATTAAATTTGCAAAGTAATTGTATCTACATCTACCCACCTATATGAAATACATAGCAGCTGAGACCCAGACTAGCCATCAACAGAACTCTTGCTCTTCAACGTCTACATGAAACTGCTGGGAGAGGTCATCAGGAGGAGTGGGCTACGGAATCATCAGTACGCTGATGATACCCAGCTCCACCTCTCGTTTTCCACCAATCCAGGTGAGGCAGTGGCTCTGCTGAACCGGTGCCTGGCCGAGGTAATGGGCTGGATGAGGGCCAATAAACTGAAGCTCAATCCAGACAAGACAGAGGTCCTGTTGGTGGGTGGATCAAGCTCCTGGATAGGTGGCCTGGTCCTTGTCCTGGATGGGGTTGCACTCCCTCTAAAGGGCAGGGTCCGCAGCTTGGGAGTGCTCCTCAACCTGGAGCAGTCCTTGGAAGCCCAAGTGTCGGCGGTAGCAAGGAGCGCCTTCCTTCAGCTTCGGCTAATCTATCAGCTGCGCCCTTACCTGGAGGAAGACTGCCTAACGACAGTGACACATGCATTGGTTACTTCCCGGTTGGATTTCTGCAACGCGCTCTACGTGGGGCTGCCCCTGAAGACAGTCTGGATACTTCAGATGGTGCAGAATAGGGCAGCCAGGTTGCTGATGGGGACTGGGTGTTATTCTCACATATCCCCAGTTCTCTACCAGCTTCACTGGCTCCCCAGCTAAGTCCAGGCCCAATTCAAGGTGCTGGTTATCACCTATAAAGCCCTTAATGGTTTTGGACCTGGATACCTGAAGGAGTGCCTTCTTCCATATTTGCCCTCCTGCCCCTTGAGATCGGCAGCAGAGGCTCTCCTCCGGGAGCCCTCCGTGAAAGACATCAGGAGGCAAAGTACCTAGGGAAGGGCCTTCTCTATGGTGGCGCCCCGCCTATGGAATGCGCTCCCCAGAGAGGTCCGCCTGGAACCGTCGTTATTTGTTTTTCGGCGCCAGGTTAAGACCTTTTTATTCCAGCAGTATTTTAATAAGTTTTAATATTGTTTTTTTCTATATTTTTAATTGAAGCCAGTGTGGGTCGGGAATTTTATTTATGCTATTACACTGTAAGTTGTCCTGAGGCTTTTTTGCGATTAGGACAGCATATAAATATTTTAAATAAATAAATAAATAAATAAATAATAAACTCTGTTCATTGAACAATCCTATTGAATTATGTGTGTGTGGGGGGGGGAGGGAAGCTGTTTTCTGCCAATTCTCCTTGCAGCCTCCTTCCATAAGATGTTTTGGAGGGTCAGAGGACCCTCGGAAACAGAGTAAGAGGTGTCAGAAGAGCAATCTATGAAATATGCCTCCTCCACCTGGATATAGGCCTCTGCCTGTTCAAGGATACAACTGGATCCAATCTTATGCATGGCAGCACCAAGATTAGAACTTCATTCCTAGCAAGAGTATTTATTTGTTTTATTTTTATTTAGCAAGCTTATATGCCACCCCATTCGCCAAAGCCTATGCTCACAAAGGCATAGGTCAGAGGCATAGGTCTATGTATGTTAAAGTACAGCACAAAATGACATGGCAAGATGGGAAACATTTATTAGGAAGTAATTCCATACTAACAACTGTGTATGTGCATTGGTCTGGCTGCATAAAGCCAACCGAGTAACTTAACCAGCAATGCAAAAGCACCCATCATACCACCTAAATGAAGCTTTTGCAGCAATGCTTCTAAACTCCTGACACATACCTGACCGACTGAACTCCAGCCCACAGTAACAGTGCAATGCTCTGTTATGTGTCTACTCAAAAGAAAGGCTCAATGTGCTTACTCCCAGGAAAGTGAAAAACTCCTAAGAAAAAGGACATAGGATTGCAGCCTAAACCTGTTACCTTGTAACCGTGCTGCATGGCTTAATTATTGGATAAAGCACCAATATTAGGCTGTTCAGAGGCTGTTAAGGCTGCTAATACTAGGCTGTTAAGAGAGTTCTATTCAAGATACTTCCTCTGCTGAATGACTGAGCAAATCACAACGCATGATACACTAGCGACTGGCCATTACGTCTGTTTGATAACACACTGGACTAAATCAATTTATCAATGAGTGACCAAAGCACCTGCAGGCCTGCACACTTCGTTGCTAGGAAATATCCTGTTGGAAATTAATGCATTTTAAAGCAGAATTTAAGATATCATATAGGTCAGGCCCACAAAGGTCTTTCATTATTCATTTCAGCGTCAGCATTTACAAAAACTCCAATTAAGTTATAAGAACTATTATTATTAATTATGCAACATTTGCCTTTTTAGCCAAGATTAACTCAAAGCACAAGACGAACCAAGGCAACCGCTGTGGAGAAATATGGGTCCGCCCACATTTTATTATATTGGGAGGGAGAACCAAAGTATTAAACACATATATTTGCACTCAATTGCCGCTAAAGGTTGGGAGAACTACTTTATACCTTTGCAACTTTTTTATTTCTCTGCTGTGCCTCTCTTAGCACAGATAACAGCCCAGCAATAGAAAAAGTATTCTGCGAGGGAAAGGCCCCAGGTTTGGTTTGCTGCATGCCCCATTTAAAGGAGCTGAGGGAGCAGGTGAGGTGAAAGATGCGAACCTGTAGAGAGCATTTGCCAAGCAGAGTGGATAAATGGGCTAGCTGCACCAATGGGCAGTATCAAGCAGTATCGGGAGGCCCTCGGTCCCCAGCGGCATCCAACATGCTGTCCGTCAAGCTTTGCCTCACCTTAACTTTCACCAGCCTTTTCACCGTCTTGATTTTTGCCTCACAGAAGGCACCCCGGTACTTGGCACTGACATCCGTCCCCTCTGTCAGGTAGGCAGGCTCATCTGCTGCCTGGAGACAGATCAACAACAAGGGCCCGTTAACCGAAGCATGCAAAAATACTTCTCAGATCTATCGTCCCAACTTACGTTGCTCATAATACAACAGCAGACGAAGCATCAAAAGGCAAGAACCTCCAAAACGGCAGCTGCTGGATGTAGACTGGCCACTCACAAAACACCCAAAGCGAGAGGACATACATGCAAATCCCTGCTACCGAAAAAGGAAGGTAGGAAATAAAATAATCCTAATCTTTATTCTACCGTTTCCAACTACTGTTTGGACTCCAACCGGCTATGATCAATATTTCAGAAGTACTAGGCACTGGGAACAGTGTAAGAACAATCCTGTAAGAATATGCATTTCTGGAAAGCTAATGTTATGCCGTCAAGTCTTCACAGAAGAGAATGCTAACTAGTTGTTAGAATTATTAAAAACAAGATTTGCCAAAATACTTTGGCCAAAGCACTTTACCTCATATGGGTTTCTCAGAGGTACTAGCAGGCCAGGCTTTTTTTAAAGGAATGAACATTATTCAAACAATTTGGGGTAAACCCCCAAACATTTCAGTTGATGCCTAATAAATGAAGACCCCCCCACCCCACCCACAACACTAATTTCCTTTGAATGTTTCTTCATTTCCCAAAAGGAGGCTGTGTACATCTTCAAAATAAACACCTGGAGAACAGGACACAGTGGTTAATTTCCATCACGATGTCAGCACATAGCTGAACAGCACATTTAAATAGTATGTCCTGGAATGTTAGATGGGGCTTGCTTCAGGATTGCAGTCATAGTCCTGCAGTCAGGATGCAAGTCATCGACCTGGTTCTCACAAAAGAGCTCAAGGTCTGCCAGGCACAGGCAGAAGAGAACACGTGCTCTGGGCAGCGTGCCCCATGCGCCCACTTTTACTCCACAGCCCACCATCAGGTGTTGAGGAGTATGCCATCTGTCACTAAGGAGTGTTTGTTGTTGGGTTCACTGCTAGGCTGTTTAGCCCGTAAACAACCCAGCAGCCCCGGTGCAGACGTCACATACAACTTCCTACAAAGAAGCCAACAATATGTTGCTGAGTAAAAGCAGAAGTGGAGGGCAGACAGGAAGGAGCGCACTCACTCTCTTCCACTCATTCCTGACAGTCTCTGGCTTCTTTAAGTCAATGAGTTATTACATGTGAATGAGACCATTAAAATGCAATATATTTTAAGTGATGGTACCGTATCACTAACTGAAGCAGGTATAATACATGTGAATCCAAGCAGAGTTATCCCTGCATGACAGGGCTTTCTCCTGCTCACTTCCAAGAACTGCTCTAGTGTCCTTCAACTCTCCCAGGCATACTTTCAGGGTGCAGGGAATTTTTTAATTATTATTTATTTTTATTTATTAAAACATTTTTATGCCGCCCCATTCTTCCCTTCCTGGTCTCACTGATCCATAGTTCTGCCAATGAAAGGACTTAATTTTATTTCTCCCTACATTTTTGGAGGTGTCTTACATACAGTACTCTACTTTCACTTGGAATTTACTCATATGTCAACTTGAGTTCAACCAACAGGTAACACTGAATGACACTGGCAATTTTACACCCATTTCCAAAAATCAAGATCCAGAGAACTGATAAACAACCTTAGCATTTAGTGAAGAAATGGGAATGGTTCTCATTTCTCTTTTCTTCCTCACAGCCATAGTACAAAAATGTGTATTGGACAGCATTTCAGAACAAATATTTCACACTATGCAAAAATATATTAGGACTTTTACCACTAAAAAGAGCATCTCCGGTTACTTACTAATTAGTTTTTGTGAAAAAAAACAAGGAAAAAGCCTCAATTTATTCCTCACAAAATTTAGCCCGCTGGAAAAGTAACTTTCTGGGACACACACGCACATAAAATGTTAACGTGCATCTTCCATACGTTTTAGCAATGCTATTCATAGCACCACTACCTTACCTGCAAAGGTGCATCATGCTACAATATAAAAACTACACATCAGGATTTCATTACATAGAGAAGATCATTTCATGCTGCAGGCTTTTCACCCCTACCTGTTGGGAAATTGTTTACACAGGCAAAATTGTTCTCATTTGTTATCTTCTTTATCTGTGAAACCCATAACTTACTGACAGGTCAAAAATTTGTACTTTGTAAACTTTCCAACAGGAAAACAGAGAAAATGCATTAGAAGAAAAAATCCAGAAGCAAAACCCAGAATGTTCTGCCACATCCAAGCTATCTACAGTCAAGCACATTCAAACACAAACACTTTCTTCAACACATATAGGTCTCCACAACTTCTTACTCCTAAGGGAATAATCAATGGATGAACATATAATTTCTATGAAGAATATCTCAGGTTCAGTTCCCAACATTGGTGAGCAAGTAATGGAAAAAACTTTGCCAAAGACGAGTGTGATTTAGTACTGGGACTCAGGAGATGAGTTCTAGTCCCTGTTCAATCAAGAGGTCAACTTTGGGCCAGCCACACTCTCAGCCCAACCTGCCTCACTGGGTCGTTGTTGTTGTTGGGATGAGACTAAGAGCAGGAGGAAGAGAATTGTGTAAGCCACTCAGGACTCTGAGAAAATAAATCTAAATAAATAAGACCCCAAGCAGAGTCAAAGAGCCACTGCCAGGTTAGACAGTTGTCTGGAGTGGTAAAAGTTTCCTACGTTACTACACCCCTATGCAATATGATTATTAACTGGCTCCCTGAGTTCACAGCTTCTGCCACAGCTCAGCAACCGACAAGTTTGCTGTGCACTTAATAGGATGCTTGATTTCAGACACTGTAAGAAACATAAGCACAAAAACATACGATCAACAGAGGGAAGGAAGAAAATAACACTGAGATTTACCTTCATCTTTGAGGTTATTTGAGGGATTCCAGCTCAAAAAGTTTTCCTTTACAACAGTTGAAGAAATACCTAGAAGACAAGGAGAAGATGATTAAATTCATTCATATGCTTATAAGAATGGTGGCAGGAGGTCAAGAGCACAGAATTCACCTACAAAGTTTCTGGCCAATTAAACAGACCCTTTCCCTGGAGTGTACACAGTGCACAGCCTCTGCTTGTCGAGAACACACACCCTGTGTTTAACAAGCATTAGAAAGGCGAGTGGAAAATGCTAGAGGACCGAATGGACTTCTGGAGTTCTGGGTCAGCGGCAGCTCATGCTGCCCACCTCGCCAGGCCCCTCTCGTTCATCTCCGAGCCCCCGCTGCATCCACGGCCGGCGAGGGCCCCCCTTTCTTGGCGGCCTGTGGCGGGGAGACCCCGGGTCCACGCAGGGGAGGGCAGGCCGAGCAGAGGCCGGCGTGCATCCACGGGCAGCACCTTTAGACCTCTGCACTGCGTGCACCGGGAGCCAAGTCACCACCACCAGCGGGCCGGGACGCGGTCCTGTGAAGAGGCGGCTGACAGGCCGGCGACGGCGGCGCCTCCACCTGCTCCTGCCCTCCTCCAGGGAGCAGAGCGCAAGGAGGCGGCCCACGTCCCCCCCCAGGCGCCCCGCGCCTCCGAGCGCTGGAGCCCCACTCTCCCGGGAGGCCTCGCAGCCCACGGCGCCCTCCGAGCCCGGCTCTCCCCGGGGAAGCCACTTCCCGAAGCCGGGCGGGCTCCTCCGCGCCCGGCCACCGGCGACAACACAGTTCACATGACATCTCGTTAAAGCCCGGTCTGCCCGGCCCGGCCCTCCCCCCACCGGGCCCGCCAGCGCCTCACCGCCGGCCGCGCGGCAGTCGCCCCGGACGCCCTCCCACCACGAGCGGCGCCCCGGGCACGCCTCCCCCGGCGCCCCTCGGGCCCCGGCCCGGGAGAGGGGCGCCGGGGAGCCTCGCGCCCTCGCGGGGCGGCCGGGGCCACGGGCGGGGGCGGGCACCGGAGGCCATGCCCGCCCAGCAGCCGGAAAGGCCCCGCTCCGGCCCCCCTCCGCCCCAGGGCGCCAGGGGCGCCGGACTGCAACTCCCGCGACCCCCGGGGCTTGTGGGAGCGGTAGTCCGGCGCCCCGGGAGGGGAGGGCTGCCCCCGCCTCGGGGCTGGCGGGCCGCGGCGGAGACCCCACGCCTCCGCCGCTCCCGCGGCCGGCCCGGCTCCCTGCCCAGGGCGGCGGGGCACCCGCGCCTCCCGGCTGCCCCGCTCCGGCGCCCTTCCTGAGGCGAGGCGCCCCCCACCGCGCGGCCGCTCTCGCCAGCCTCCCTTCCGGGCAGGAGCAGCCCGGTCCCCGAGATCGAGCGGGCGGGCTCCGGCCCCGGATCGGTCCCCGGCCCCACCTCACCCCTCCGGCCGCTGGCGGTCCCCCTGCAAGTCCCGCTCCCCACTCACAGCCGAGTGATCCGGCGACGGCCCTGCCCGGTCGAGGTCGGTCGGTCTGCCTGCCTGCCTGCCAGCGAGCGCGGGCGCCCCGGCCAAAGGCGCCGTCCGAGCCCGGCAGGAACAGGCGACGGAGGACAGGAGCGGCGGTGGCGGCGGCGGCGGGGGATGTTCGGCTCCGCCCCGCCTTCGCACTCTGCCCGCCCCGGCCCGGGCTCCGCCGCACTCGCGGGCGCCCGACTCTCTTCCGCGGGGCGCCGCTCAGCCCCCCGAGAACAAGCTGTTGAGCAGGAGCTGCGCTGCGCGGCCTCCCATTGGCTCCGCCCCTCGCGCGCGCCCCCTCCCCGCCCGTGACGCCCGAGGGGCCCTGCCCCTCCCTTATTGGGCGCTGCGTGCGTCTCCCGCCTTTCATTGGACTGCGGAAGGGCATCTTCCGGGAGGAGATGGGGCTGGCCGGGCTGGCGGGAGGGCGGTCCGCGCTCCTCCCTCCCGCTGCCTTCTTTCTTTCGTGGGGTTTTTTGTTTTTTGGGGTAAGAGAGAAAGGAGACTTTTCATTGGTCGAGACTGTGAGACGGCAGAGCCCCTCGTTGGACGCCCCGGGCTTAAAAAGGGAGTGAAGTCAAAGTTTCCACCCGTCCTTTCTCGTCCTCCTCTGATTGGGAAGGAAACGAGTGAAAGGGCTTCCGGAAGTGAAGTGCCGCGCGCGGGGATTGGTGGAAGCCTGGCAGGGCAGGAAATTGCGGGGGAGGGGAGCGAGGGGGGGGAAGAGGAGGAGTGGCCGGAGCGGATTGGCCAGCTGCGTCCGTCTCATGGAAACGAAAAGGCGGGGGGTGGGGCTACCAGAAAGCTTGCAGCGGTGGCGAAGGAAGGCAGCCGCGCATGCGTTGTTTGGCCGTCGGCAAGGGAGGGGGAGGTGTTCTTTCTCGCCTCCACCGGGCGCCATTTTGTGCGCTCTTCGGTCACGTCTTCGTTCCATTTCGCTGGGAGGCCGAAGGAGGACAGCGGTGCCGCGGCCTTGCTCGGGCTGAGGTAACGAAAGCCCCCGGGGAAGTGACACAGCCAAGGGTGTTGGAGAGAGTGGAGGGGAGAGAAGCCCGCTCCTCCGTTGAAAATAGGCCTTTTCCGCGTGGGGTCAGGCTTTGGGGGGGGCGGCGGCGGAGGGGGGAAGGTCGGGGGGGGCGGCGGCGGGGACCGGCGGAAACCGGCCGGTGGGCTGAGGGGAGGCTCACGTAGAGGGGCGGGCACAGCAACGGAAGTTAATATGACGCGAGGACTGCGCAGCCGCGCGGAGGGGGCGGGGCTCATCCCTCCCTTGCTCTCGCTTGCAATAATCTGGGCACGGGCGACGCTTCCCCTCTCCTTCATTGGAAAGAGGAAGCACGTTAGTAGCTCAATCCTGTGAAAGTTGAAACAGAAATAGACCCTACAGCTGCCAAGATGTGTGCCAGCCAGCACAGCTAAAGTGCATTCCTACAATTAAAGGCGCAATCCTTTTGTTGTTGTTAGTCACGAAGTCGTGTCCGACCCATCGCGACCCCACGGACAACACTCCTCCAGGCCTTCCTGTCCTGCACCAGCCCCCGGAGTCCACCCAAGCTCACACCAACTGCTTCAGTGACTCCATCTAGCCATCCTATGCGAGTTTAGATAGTCGGGTGGCCTCTTGGCCTGGCTGGGGCCTGCTGGGAGTTTTTTTCCTTCTCTGAACCTGCATGGGACTGCCCCTTTAGGTACGCTGGCTAGGGCAGCTTGGGAGATGTATATTCCAAAAATACCTTTTTGTATGAACTTTTATTGGGTCACGCCTTGAAGAAACCAGCATCACCAAAATTATTGCAGCAGTCATTTTACGAGCTCCTTGTGGACTAGTGTCATGGCTGTACAAAAACTAATACCTTTGCCAGAAGGCTTCACATGTTGTTCCAGTATTGTCTCTCTCTCTCACACGCACCATGTGCACACAGAAACAGGGCCAATGGTTCTTGTGGCACTTCAGAGGCCTCTTCATGGTGATATGTAAAGGTTTTGCAGACTGCAGATTCCTGCATAAGATCCAGGACGTGTTATCTTTTTGTGGGCAGCTTCTTACATCTGCTGATTGAAGATAATGCGTTGTGCATCTGATGAAGAATACTGGTTTTCTTTATTTTTGTTAGTCTGCAGCAACTTCTTCCTGTGTCATCTTAAAAGACTAATATGTAATTCTTTCTGGAAGTAGTTTTTACATAGTGGTTTCAGCATGTATCTTAAGTTAGTCTCTCTCATATTCTTGTATATTCTGTGCCTGGGCCACTGCTTAACTTTGAGATAGACTTCTGCTAATAGGATACATTTTCAGGGTGTGGGGGTGTCTGTTATGGTGTAGACTCTTTGTATTTACTCAGTCTTATAAATGATGTTTTGGTCAATGAGAGATCTTTGCAAAAGATTTCCCCCCTTTCCTCTTAGGTAACAAGTAAAAAATATACAGGCATGTGGTCTATTAAGTACTTTTAGATTATTAACTTTGAAACCTTTTGGCAAGGCTGCCATCAAGTAAGTATAGAGGGAAATCTTGTATCAGAAAGAGAAATTATTACAAATGCCAACTTGATGAAGAAAATCTCAGAACACTTTGTGTCTTTTCCTAGCTTTTCATTGTCTGGGTTCACACAACATAATAAGGTGTAGTATTGTGTAAGCCAGAGTTCTAGGGGAGGCTTGCCATTTGTCTGAATCCAAACAGAATGGTTAACAAACCAAGCTGTGTGGTACAGAAAACATGATAAACCATACCTGCTTATAGGCTGTCATGGGTATCACACAGGGTGAACTGTACTGTATATTAGCTGTCTGGTTTGTCAGCTATACACAAGCCACTCTGGCTGGGTTCAGATAATGCAGCAAGCCATCCCTGCCTTATAAGCTGTATGAACCCAGTCTCTAACTTGCCAAGGGGTGAGAAGAAGGCAGGGGGAATGGTCTTCTTTCAACAGCAGTAAGAGAACTTTTGTCACTATCAATATAGAGCAGTTTGTCTCAGTTACTATATAGGGGGAAGATAATATGCTCATGTTCAGTTGCAGCAGTTATCTTAGAACTGATTGGGTGGGAGAAATCATTCATTCATTATATTATTGTACTCTAGCCAGAAAGGCTGTCTGGGCAGTTTACAGAGTTAAAATTCATTCTGCATTCTGGTGAGGAGGTGCTTGCAAAACCCAGGGTCATACTAGTATACACGAGTGCATGGCTCAGTTCCCATCAGCCCACTGTTGCATAGTTGTACTTTTTCATCCTAGTCCAAGTTTCCGTATGGATGAACTGAACATGGTTGAACTGCCTGTTGAAGAGCCAGGGAGTACTAGCTTCACTTTTATAGCCATACGTGGTCAGTAACCATGGCTTTTCACTTAGTAATAGAACTGGGTGTTGATGGAGACTGTTTTGGTTCAGTTAAAAGGGGCCAGTTAGCTCTTCAAGTCTGCACTTGCCAGAGGACGAATGGAGATGTGAGAGTGATAGCCCTGTCAAGTTTGAGCAGAGAAGCATCCAACTTTCACGGGTTTAACTTTTGCAGATTTGATCATTTGCGAGTTTGCCACCAGTAATTAAATGGAGTCCTGTACCCCTAAGCCCCACAAATGTGGAGGTTTGAGTGTAATATGTATATTGTAAAGACTGCAATACTTTCACCTTAACACTTGTTACCTATGCTTTGAACTTTAAGGGGAAATACCCCTAGGTCGCAGGTTTCTCAAAAAATGGGATGGAGCCTCTGCTTGAGAGGTGTCAAATCATAGTCTGCTGATCTGGATGTCACGGCACTTGACACTTTAGTTACCAGATCAACCAGTAATGAAGCAGTTGTGACACCTCCTAGAGAGCATTAAACAGCTGCTCATCATCATGTTTTCAGGCTTCGTCATTTTGCCTCTCATGACATAGATCAGCAGACACTTCCTCATGCATAGTTCATCTTAATTAAGTAACATGTATGGTTGGCTTCTTTAAAACATTGATTGAAATAATGTTTGCCCTATTTTTCAGCTAAAAAACTTGCCAGAACAGTGTACCTATAATTATAAACAAGATAGTCCTTTTCCACAAGCACACAATCTTGCCAATATCTGTAGTTTCTCTTTCCTGAGTATTCTTGCTCATGTGGGTGGTTCAAGGAAGGAGCTGACTCAGCATTATGTTTATTCCAGGCCCTTGCCATACATGGAAACAAAGCTGACGGTCCCAAATCCGAGTACCATGACACGAGTTGCTTCTTTGCAAGTTCCAGAAAATTGGGGTGAGGGATAGAATCCTGCTCTTCCCAGTGGCATGAAGTGGGACTCCCCCCAGTGCCTTGTCTGCAGTACATGGAAGAAGGGGTGTCCTCCTTGTCCTGGACACTTGCAGGAAAGGAATCTGTAGTAGCTGGTGATCACCCACTGACTGGATTTATCAAAGACTAACTGCAGTAGGTGTTCAGAGAGCCATAGGGATGTTAAGGCAAGCAGAACCTTCTGGACCCAGGAAGCAAAGACATGAATGGTTTGAATGCCACATGGTAGAGGAACTCCATATATTCATATCAAGTGTATGAGGGAAGGTGCTTCCCCACCTGATTGGGCAAGACCTGCCAAAGCAAGCTTTGTTCATAGTGCTAGAGCAGTGTCCTACTATGCAGGTGTTTGTGCACGCTGAGGACAAGTTCTGCGTGCCGTCCTTCAAGCAGACGCTTGGTTTCAACAAGGAGGAAATAATAAACACGGAGGGGAATTCAAATGGTTTGAGAAAGGGCTCTAAGGCTTACACATTACAACTCAGATTACTGATGATTTCTGTCTCTTATTTCAGTAGCAGCTTTATACAAGAACTTACTCCAATGAGGCCTCTGTTACATGTTCACCCAAAGCAATGACAAATAGAATTGGAGCTGAGAAGAAATAGCTTGTAAAGATGCCTGTGACATCAAAAGGCCTAAGAAGGAAGAGGATGTTGCACTTGTGAAACTGGACTCAAGAAGAGAGCCAGCCTTGGACGTAAGAGACACAGGAGAGCTGAGTAGGGGCTGCTGCACACAGCATGTTGAAGCAGTTGACAAAATTGTACCAAAGAGCAACTGAGACAGTGGGTCTCAATCATGGTTAGTAATTGGTGGGGTGCAGGTGTCATACGATGTGTGTCATCTGTGTTGCATACTTACCAGAAAAATGGCATCAGCTTCTTGGATGTCATGCTCGTAGCTTGGGAGGAAAGCATAGCTGCACCATGAGTTGACAGGCCAAACACTTAAGTCAGAGCTCTTGCATGCCATTTGGTAGGGATGTAAAAGAGGGCCTCCTTGGTGACATTGCTGGGTTCAGAAACTCTCTACCTAGAAATGCTGGGTTGGCTCCTTTTGTGTTGTCTTGCAGACAGGAAATATGACATCTTTATTCAGGGAGGTTTTTAGCATTTAAGCTTGCCTGCTGCTTATTTTTTTTTGCGTTTAATCATTTTTAATTTATTTCTTTTTAAGCTGAAAATGTGAGTTTCTTTTAATTCAGTGTGTGTTAGCTGCCTTGACTCCCATAATTTAGCAGAAAGGAGGGATATAAATTGAATAAAATGAGGCAAATGGCGAGTGCTAGTAAATTTATGGTAGTGCTGCTGGGCATAGGACAGTGGTGTCCTAAAAGACTTCAGTTATGAAAATGATAAAGATCAAGACATCAAAAAGTTACTTGGTTTGGCTGTAAACAAGCTTGGTAGTATAGGGTAACTGGCCAGTATGGTCTTTGAACTGCTTATCCAACGTCAGAAGACTCCTTCCTGTTGCAGCCTGCAACCTTCCTGTCATCTCCAAAGCCCAGCAATTTCAAGGCTAAATCCTTCATATGGTGATTGTCTTTTGATGTCTTTGTTGAGAGAGTCAGCTGTTACTTTTTTGTGGGGGAAGGGTTTTGTTCTGCTTGAATTCTTGAACAGTCAGGGTCTGCACTAGAGACCCTTTGTTCTAACTGGCATCTCAGTAGGTGTGAGATTTGGAAAGCAAGGAGGAAAGGAAAATAGGTACAGCTGCATTTTTCTTTTCCTCTTCTAATTTGCACATTGTCACCATACTTAGCTGAAGTGGGATGTATAGCTATGATTTCAGGCAAGGGAGTTGTTAAGTCTGTAAAATTTCCAAGGGAGCTCAGTTGTTTGGCCTTTGTTTGGCGATTAATTCTAGGTTGTGTTTAATACATTAGGTGTTCATTTATTGGTGAAATGCCTAGCCACTGCACTTACTTAGGATACTAACTTGTAAAAAATGGCATCAATCAAATTGACAGATAATCACTTTTAGCAGTTTCATTTTCTGGAAATATATTGAACAACTTTGCTCACATGTGTGCTGCCCTATTACATGTGTAGCCTTAAGCATTTGTAGCCTCTTCTCCTTGCATGCTTAACTCTCTCCCATTTTGTGGCAAACATTAATTTGCTAGTATAGCCAAACCAGTAAAATGATCCTGTTTCATGGGCCAGAAACACAAACCATGTGTTGGTCATAGACAAGGAAGCCTGAGAGTCCAGCACTCTCTTGTAATATCAAACATGGTAGGCCAGCACTGTATGAATCAGCTCCCAGGTGCATTCAGTTACAAATTTTTGAGCTGTGGTTGAACATGCTGTCAATAAACAAGATACAGTTTTTGCCCCTCGATAGTGTAACTGCTGGAAAAAGTTGCTGAGCCTTTGCAAATTCAAGTAGTGGGAAGAAAAATCAGTAGAACTGAGTATGGTGCAGTGTGTATCAAGGTGGGACAGCCGCAGAGTGAGATACTCCTTTAGCTAAGAGGCAAGGTCCTGGCAAGCAGCTACATCCACTAGTTTTGTTTGCACATTCCTCAGCTGCAACCAGTTCCCTTCTTCAGCTGTTGGTTCACCACTCTCCTCTCTCCAGAGTGCTATCTTAAGGAAAGGAAAACCAGACCGATCTGGTCTGTTTTCCCTATTCCAGACTCTAAAAGTGTTGTTTGAATTTTGCAGGGTGGAGGGAGGTAGACAATTAGGTGACACTACAGAGTTTAAGGATAGGATGACAGTGTCCCCTCCCAAGTTATTAATAAGGCCAGACTGCAAACGATCAGTTCAGGCTTCTAAATATAGTGCAAACCTGATTTTGCTGTCCCTAGTCCTATTTGAAGTGGCATATTTCACAACATAGTTTCACCCTCCTCACTTCTATGTCTAAGGAAAGTTAGCTGATGCCACGTGGGCTTGTGCAAAGGTGTAGTTAGTTCATGTTCTAGACTTCTATATACATTCATCGTTGCTTTTCCGTCAGATATATCTGTCTTGCAGTGATTTTTCAGGTGTTTCCACACGCTCCACTCCTGTTCCTGCTGCCATAACAGGAGTCTGTAAAAGCAAGACCTGGCAGGAAGCTCCTGCTATTGCTTGCTGGTGCCCTTTCCTTCTGAAAGCCTGCAGTAGTCATGCCATGTTCGGGATTTTTGTGCATAGCAATGGCCCACACAGTATGCAAAGCAGAGGCTGTCAGGGACGAGTAGGGGAGGAGAGCAGGGCCATTGGCCACAGCATGCTGGCCACTCCCACTTTTCCATTAACTCAGAATCAGTTCCTTCATGGATTGCTTAATGTGCTGTTTGAACCGAGCAATGATTTCAACAAAAAACCATGATTAACCACTGGATTGTTTTGTCCCTAAATCCAGGTTCCGGTATCATGCTTGGCAACTTACAGAGGAGTCATTTGTGGGTTGTTGACTAAAAGTAGAAAGAGTGGGCATGCAGGAAGGAGCACACTCACTATCTTCCCCTCATGCATGGCAACCGAAAGTTCATTTAAACCTTGAGTTGCCCTTATGTAAAAAAAACCAGGTTTTCACGTTATCCCTCGCTGGAGGGACCTGGTCAAGCAATTAGGCTGTTGGTAGCCACAGTGTGGAAAAGAGAAAAGGATACGCAATTTGCTGCAGGTGAATTCACTGGGGAATAGTTATTACTTGTCCCTCTTTAAATTCCCTGTTGTGTCACAAATAGAGATGTTGCCATTTGTGCAACATCTCAGGGTCAAAGGAGATACTTTCACTGGTCTACAAAAATACACAGTACCATTTTTAGACATAGAACTTCTGCTAACATCAGCTTGCAGGGAGCATTGGGAAATTGATGAACTCACTAACTGGAGAGCTAATAAAGTTCCTCAATATCTACAAGCTATGTAGACATGCCCTTTCTGGTTCTAATTTGCTTATTTTTGTGTTTTTGTCAACATTGCTGTATTGTATATACTAGTATTCCACTCATTCTTAGTGTGTTTTTTATGCAGCTAAAACAGCTGTATCCATACAACTCCAAGTAGGCTTGGAGGAACCTAAGATGTGCAGAAATAGAAAAGTGAGTGGGGAGGGGGCAGGATCCTGGCAAGGTGAGGAGACTTGTTATTTTTTTAAACGTATAGCCCATTTTAGGGCTCTCGAGGCTGTGACCCACTGGGGATGGAGGAGATCTGAAAGGTGCTAGTCCAATACACAGAGTCCACATGGGCTTCCTAAGCAGCCTGGAGGAATGTTTTCCATGGGGTCGTGATGGGACGATGACTTTGCGACTAAACAAACAATAAAGCACTGAATAACTGTATAAAAGGTATCTAACTGGTCCAGAGGCATTACCTTCTCACGAAGGGGGAAAATATAAGGGTTTTTTCTGTTAAGATAGGTTGTTTTGGTAAAAACTTTCCCTCCCCGCTACATAGAAACAGCGCGAGTCAGAAGGGATCTCCTGAGCCATCTAGTCTGACCCCCGGCTCCAGCCGGCTCTGCTCATGACATGCCCACCTTTATGAAAAGCATCTGGCCTCCAATAGATTTGACCTGGATTTTTTTTTCCTTTTTGGATTTGCCTACTTCCTACCCCATGTATGTCTCTTGGGTTGCAACACTCGCTGGAAGTAGCTACATGCTGAGTCTAAGCTTCTTAGCACTTTAGATTGAAACTGACAAATATTCCTTGGCCACTGAATGCCACTTAAGGAAGCCACAGGTGGAAATATAAAAAGACCAGCCTACTGGTTGGGAATGATGGGACTCATGTCCCAGCACATCGAACAGGCAATGGTTAAACTAGGCTGATCTTACTACTGGCTTTTCTGCCTGAGTAGCTGAAAAGCGTTTACTGTTTTAATGTTGGAGTTCAAGGAAGTAGTTTTCCTTGTGTGGTAGTCATTTATATGGATCCCTGGTGATCTAGAGTTGGCAAAATTGCCAGTACTTTGTAAACCCTTCCCCAATTATGGAGGAGTTGTACATTTTGCACAGAAAAATAATACAAACCTAAAAGTAGCAGAGATTACCTGCTTTCTTAAGCCAAGTAGCATTTCCCAGTAATAGAAGTAACAGAAGTTATAGAAATGTCCTTTCTGATCTTTTAGTACAAGATCTTACCCATCCTGTCCCCCAAAACAGCCATGAGTGATGGGAACTGTAGTCCAACATCCACTGGAAGGCTACAGGGTTCACTTTCCTATACATCCTGAGCAGCCTATGTAGATGATTGGCAAGAAACACTTTGTTCTGTAGCTACCTTATTAAGGCATTACTATTTAAAACACGTAGTGTGATTCTTTTAATTGCTCAGGGTATCATTGTGTTAGGATGGCATCTTGCCTTGCTGAGATATGCATTGTTCTTTCTACAATTGATGGTTGTAATACAAACAATAACAGTACCAATACTGTAGAAGCAAATATTTGCTTTTGGCTTTCTTCCAAGGTGCTTTAAAGGGCTATTCAGTAACTGGCTTTTCTGTGTTGTCTTGGATACTTGACTTGTGCATTGTATTATAGGCAAATCTTTAACTGCATGGTGCTGTGTGCTCTTTTACTCTGAAGGTGGTAGACTTTTGTTTACCAGATTCACACAATTCCTTCGAACTACCAACTGTGACTTGTCATTTTTTCATTACTTCCTGGCCTCCACACTCATAGTGTGAGCTTATCTTACCTGTCAACAGAAATGTGGCTATTAATATGTAGATCCTAGCTGCAAAATAAAACCATTTTTCCCCAGGACCTGGATCAGCATGAACTTGCATATATGGCCACAAGCAAGAATGAAACTTGCTAAGTCACATGTGGGATTAGTTCTTGTGTCCAGTTCATCCAGTACAAAAGTGCTATTGCTGTTGTGCTAGTTATAATCAGGTCCTAAACTATTGTCTGCAATGTCTTCAGCGAATAACTTAAGTTGCATCAAACATTATTAGTATATTTAGCTCCCAACCTGCTCTATCATTGCAGAACAGGACAGGGAGGGAGATAAGATGTCCATGGACTCAACAGGTTCTGCTAGGGCCAGGGTTTGCCAAAAGTTTGCCTTCCTCTGTTTGGTTCTAATGAAAAGGTTTTGTCATGACTACCTGCATTTATGGGAACACCATGTAGTAAATAAAGAGCTACATTAGGCTTGAATTTTTGAGGAGAAAGGATGATAAACTTAGCAGTGGAGTAAGGCTGTTTCTGTTGAGACAAATCTGGCCTGGCTCTTGCTAGAGAGTAGGCCACCAATGTGTCCTGCTTTCTGGACTACAAAGGAATAACCTCTGTGAGCGTGTTCTTAGAGGCATGTTCAGACAAATGTCCTTTTGTACATCTGTGTAGCAGCATGACGAATTAAACTATTTTTAATCAAGTAGTACATAATGACTTGCCACTACTTCCCAGCATCCAGCAGTGTGCTCCCGCTAGTATTCATGTTGTGCTGGTGAAAACTACCCAACCCACAACAACCTTGTGCAAGTGTTGGCTTACACTCACACACAGCAGTTGTGCTAGTGCAACATTAGATGGTACCTCCTATTCCATTTTATAGGAAGAGAACATATCCAAAGCCAGACATATGGGAAGTTTTCTTAGATGAAACATCAATGTTTTTAAAAATTGCATTTCCACATGCAAATGCTTAAAATAGTGAAAATGTTCTCTCCTTCTCCCTTAGCTTCCTGTAACAAGAGGAAGAAGTGAGTGAGTAGTGGTGGGCTCAGATACAGTATTTATTTCATTTCTCCCATCACAGGACATGAGCATCAAGATGTGTGGTTTTAAATGTTGGTATTACTTGATTATAATTAAATTATTTCACTCCTTCAACTAGAAATATATATATTCACAGTCAGACAGTGACGTGAATTTGAGCAGAGCAGGGCCATATGGCTTATTCTTAAGCCATTCTTGGACAGAACAAGTAAATAGTTTTTGATTTATATCCCACTTTTTTCCTTCCAAGAAAAGCAAAGCAGCTTACATAATGCTCCTTTTCCCCTCGATTATTAGACAATAACTGTTGCCTTAAAGTTGCTTTTGAATTAACGGACTTGAACGTGCTTCTCAAATTCAAAGATGTTCCCCTAATTAGAAGTGGTAGCCCCAAGACTGGGATTCATGGAACTTCGAGCTCATAATGGGTGGGCAATATCCTATTCATTTCCACCCCTAACCAATTATTTTGCACTAGTGGAAGTGACCTCCACAGCCCAGCACTGGTGACATTTATAAGCAGGACAAATTTCCATGGAAAATCAGTCACATCAAGCACTATTGGCCTAGCGCTAGTTCACTTATGCTAGCACATCATCATTTATCTCAGCGACTGAGGCATGCAGTACTTCCGGCTGTAATGCAGAAGATTCTGAACATTAGTTGCTGAAGAACACCATTGAGAGGCTTCTGCTTTCATATGGTAATTCTGGGTTTCCCAAAGCTAAATAGTTAGCTAAGCCACTCAAGTTTCAGGATTGAGCAGCATTTTTATCAAATTTTAGTGTTCATGACAGTAACAATGAAGTCGTTTTTTTTTTTAAATTTACAGTAGAGCTAAGATGTTACAAGTAGAGAGTAAGCTTAAAAGTTATACAAGATGCAACAGGGTAGATTTTAAAAAGCTGAGCAAGATGTAACAGGAAAAGGAAGAAGGCTGGTTTTCATTTGGGAGATGACAGAGAACCAGCTTTTCTCCCTCCTTCCCCTACTGCTTTGTCTAACACCTGCTCTGATTCAAAGGTCTAGTAAATGCAAAAGCTCGCTCAGTATTCTGTTGGTGCGGTTGTTCCTAATACTGGCATTGCCCAGCTGCGGATTTTGGATTTTTTCATAACCTGAGTTTGTTTTTCTTTAAGACAAGGTTTCTTTCAACTCAACACAAGTCTTAGAGGGACTCTCACAACACTTCTGACAGTGAGCAAAATCTGATGCCCCATTATTTTGGGTGCTTTCACACCAACTGCAGGAAATGAATTTCCTTCTCATAGTGAATTCTTAAACAATTAGGATCTCTCATCACATCTTTCATTAGTTACTCACATCTAACTCATTCAGTTTTGCTGGCCATTTAAAAAGATGTGTGAATGCACCACCTGAGCAAAAGAAACAAGTCTTTTCACCCAAGGCTTCTTCAGATACTACTAAAAGCTCAGGAAAGAGTGATCACAACTCCTAACACTGCCCTGCCTTGCCAGCGCATGTGTACAGTACAGGACGCTGCTCTTTTAAGAATGGCTTACAGAGAATTACCAGAGAGCTCCTTCCTGCTCAGCTATTAAGTGCTCCCTGACTATTTGCATATGAGCTACATGTTGTCTTATGCTAATTTACTGATGAAACACAGGGGATCCACAAGGCAGAAATAGTTGTTGAGTCAAAATGTTTCTCTTAAAGACACCCTTGACACACACAGTGTTAACCTCTTCTGTTTATTTCACTGGCTCCAGTCCAGAAGGGTAAGCCTCATTACCAAATCAACTTAAGTTTTCAAGATGCCCTCCAGCTAAGTACACTTCCTTTCCTCTCACCTGCCAGACTGGAAAGGTGAATCGTAAAGCTTGACAGCAACATTCCTGAAAGCCAATTATGGAATGGCCCGTGAATTTACCAACCTTCAAAGTAAGGTGTGGCATTTCAGATGATGTGTATATGATCATGTGTGTAGACATAGGTGTGCTTAATATATTATACAAGCTTAAAGCTGCTTTACCATCTCTGGGCAGCATTAGTTGCACTTTATTTCTTTTGTGGACAGTAAGATCAACCAGGCCAGAAGGAATTGCGAGGGAGGAGTTCCAGCCCCAGGATGGGATATCAGGGCTGTCCCTTTCTAATAATAGTACTGAGCAGCCCCTGAACATGTTTAAATTTTGGCTGGGTTTTTATGGTCATGATTAAGCAGATATAGGAAACTTTACCCTGAAGCAGCCAGGATTCAAAGTACTACTTCATGGATGCCCAGGTTGATTCCTGTACTTTCCCCTTTAACCAGGATATTCTCCCCCCACCCACCCAACATGCACCAACATAATTTCCAGAAAAGTTGTCATGTAGCATTCGGGCAAGGGCTATTCAGGACAATCAGCAAATCCTCAGCAGTCCTGCAAATCTCCTTGGATTCTAGCCAAATATATAAAGTACCCTGTTTTTATTATTTCGCTATGCGCCTGCCCCCACAGGGTTTACTAGTCAGTGCCCTGCATCCAATAATACTCAGATTAAATATAAACAGTAATTGTAAAAATGTTTAGTGCAAGTTGGTCACTCAAAATATTCTTCCAGCACATACATACATAATGGCAAATACATAAACAGGCCTTTTTAAAGATTTTTAAAAAGTCTTAAGCGTGTTACATGTTTTCATCATCTGATTCATCCTCTTCTTTCAGAGATTCCTGTTGAAGGAAAGGAAAAAACAGGTTTCACTGTACATTTTGCATAAAGACAAAACATACAAATCCATGCATAGGGATCCAGCTCTCTACAGTGTGTGAAATCGAGCAGGTGATAGTTTCTGTGGTCTACAGCTATCTATATAGGTTCAAATTCTCAAACAGCCCAAATGTCACTTTCCCGTTTGTGTTTAATTGGTATTCTAATGTAGGATTTCTAACTAGAGCAGGCTATCTTTTGCAAACAAAACTCTTCTTAGGATTCAATCCAGACAAGACGGAGGTCCTGTTGGTGGGCGGCTCGGACCTCGGGATGGGGGACTTGGGCCTTGTCCCAAATGGGGTTGCACTCTCTCTGAGGGACAGGGCTCGCAGCTTGGGAGTGCTCCTCGACCCTGAGCTGTCTCTAGAAGCTCAGGTGACGGCGGTGGTGAGGAGCACCTTCCTTCAGCTTCGGCTGATCCATCAGCTGCGTCCCTTCCTGGAAAACGACTGCCTGGCGACAGTGACACACGCGCTGGTAACTTCCCGATTAGATTTCTGTAATGCACTGTACGTGGGGCTACCCTTGAAAACGGGCTGGATACTTCAGTTGGTGCAGAATAGAGCTGCCAGGCTGCTGACGGGGACTGGGCATTATGTTCACATGACTCCAGTTCTCAGCTCCACTGGCTCCCGATTGAAGTCCGGGCCCGATTCAAGGTGTTGGTTATGACCTATAAAGCCCTAAACGGCTTGGGACCTGGATACTTAAAGGAACGCTTGCGCCCATATATGCCCTCCTGCCCCTTGAGGTCAGCAGCAGATGCCCTTCTCCGGGAACCATCTGTGAATGACATCAGGAGGGTGAGTACCCGGAGGAGGGCTTTCTCGGCAGTGGCGCCCCATTTATGGAATGTGCTCCCCAGAGAGGTCCGCCTGGTGCCGTCGTTATTTGTTTTTCTGCGCCAGGCTAAGACCTTTTTATTTAAAACTTATTTTAATTCTTAATTTATTTATTTAACTAGGTTTTTTTTTTAATTTTTAGCCGAGAATGCACTGAGGTTTTACTGAGGTTTTATGGTATTGGGGTTTTAATGTATGGTTAACTTTTTTTTGATGTTGTGAGCCACCCCGAGGCTTATTGCGATGGGGCAGCATAGAAATGTTATAAATAAATTAAGAAAATACCATGTTTTCTTATAGGAAATGGGATAACGCACTAATCCAACTAAAATTACACATTACATTAGGTTGGGCTAATACAAATATCCTAAAGAAAATTTTAAGTGTGTCTAGGCAGTTCAGAGAAAAATAAAATGTGGAGGTATACTAGTTATGAAAAACCATTTCTGTCTGAAGTTGCAGTGGTTACCTTAGCGTATTTCTCTGCCTCTTCTTTAATGTCTTTTGGGACGATTTCATGTTTTCCTTTAGTAACTGTGAATTAAAGAAAATATTTAAGAACTTGTGACTGTCTCAGAATTATAAAATCATTGCAATGAAACTGTTCTTTGAAATAAAATGTTTACAATATGCAACTGCAGGCTGAAGTTGACTTTAAGTTTTGGAGCAAGTATTTTAAATATTACGGACTCTGGAATGCACTCCCCAGAGAGGTTCACCTGGTGCCAACTTTATATTCTTTACAGTGCCAGGTAAAAACCTTTTTATTTGCCCAACATTTTAAGCTTTAAATAATTTTAATCTGGTTTTATTATATTCTCAGTCATATTTTGTTACTGTATTTTTATTGTTTATGCATTTATTGTTTATATTGTAAACCGCCCTGGAACAATTGGATTGTGTAGGACGGGATAAATATATTCCAAATAAATGAATGAATGAATGTGCTGCTTCATATTTAAGAAAATATACCACAACCAGTTAATGTAACTATTTCCATGGAAGAGTGAATGTTAATTTTTAAAATGTGATACATTACTTTCTCCAACCCAGCTGAGTTCAAGTTCAAAAGCTTTGTCTTTTACTTCATCATGGACTATGTAGATTCTAGAAAGAAGAAACAAAGGGGAAATGTGGTCATTCAATTATTTGTTAACAACTAAAATTGGGTCCATGTATTTATACATTTGTGAAAGTAGGGCATGAATATCTAGTTTTAACTTAAAAGAATCATCAGAAATAGTATATGTTTATTGGGATGCAGGTACATGTTTTCACATAACCTGAAAGGCAGCAGAGATGGGGAACAAGTTGCCTCAAACCAAATAAGGTATGATCTGTGTCTAAATAGCAACTCCAGCTTAGCTGAACTGCTAGATCCCCTGCCCCAGTCACCCAAATCGGAGCGAATGGGCATTTCTGAAAGTCACCTGTGAGCACAATGCTATGCATGCTTGTTCAGACAGAAAACAGTCCTACAGCTCCCAGTATTCCCCAGCCAGTTTTTTCTGTTTAAACACACATCCCACATAACTTTTTTCGTTCATCATGCAACTGAAGTTAAATCCAAACTACAGACAACTTGGGTGCAGGGGGCAAACAACAAAAACAGCTTACATTTTTGCAACTTCTTTAACAACGTCCCGGCAAGTCATCTCTTTCATCTGTGGATATGTTGAGGTGGTTAACAATGTTATCATGTGCTAAATGTAGTATTATCAGAAACAGTGCTGTGAGGCCCTCAAAAGCAAAACAATGTAACATGTCTCTAGAGCATGTTTCCAGACAGAACTAGCACCAGAACCATCCGCAACCTGCGTGAAAAAATTTACATGTTGCACCCGTGTTGTTTACTGCAGTCATTTCAAATAAATGGAGTTCAAGTGGCTTCATGAAGACTGACAGAGTTCAGTAAGCCAGTGTGAAAACCCACTTTGTTCAGAGTGACTTGACCATGTTTGGATGTTCGTACTGAACTATGTGTCTGCATTATGAGGCCAAGCCTCCAACAACTCTCAGATTTGCACATCCCTAAGAGGGAGACAAGAAGTTTTGACTTCCGTTTTAGCAGTGTATCAAGGAAGAATTCCCTGGATGTAAATTCAGAAAAAGCATCCACAGACCTATCCTGTCATCCAATTATTGTGGTTAAATTGAGAGAATGGAGAATACTGCTACAGCGGTTCTTTTTTTATCCATTTTATTGGATTCTATAGCAGTTTCCAACCTTTCCATAGCTGGGGACCGGCAAAAACAGGAAAACCACCTTGGGGACAGCTGAGGCAGAAACAAAAAGTACCATACACATAATACAATATTCAGTGCATTAGTCTCCAGGCACAATACCAAAAAAATAAATTACCCAAAACAACTGGAAACCGAACAAAAAATGCCAACAAAGGAACACGATACCGAAATTGGCATAGCATGGCTCCCAGTTGGCTCCCACTGAGCCATCTCTCCCTGGCCCGCCAGCGGCACTGCTGCACCCCCCACGAACATGATGCCAACTGAAGAGGAGGCGGTGGAGCACAGCCAGACGTGGCGCCGGTCCACAACAAGGGGGATGCAGCCCCCTCCCCCCCAACTGGCTGGAAATCTCCCGCGGACCAGTGCTGGTCTGTGAACTGGTGGTGGAAAACCCCTGCTCTAGATGATAGCATCCAAGAGCATGAATTTGTTTATTGTAGGAGAAAAGTTACTGCCCAGCACTGGTACAGACGCAATAGTTTTCCCTATAAATGAATGCTGTAAAAATGTGTGGTAAGTCACCAATGTGAAGTTAATTTATCATCATGGCTTAATTTACAATAGTTTAATTCCCATCCTTTAGTTGTATAGTTTATAGTAAGTAAGTTAAATCATTGATATATCTGAATTTGTTCTACTAAGATAACAGGATATTTGACATTTTCTAGGAAGAAGCGGATCAAGGTATAAACTCCTAAATTAGTGCATGATTCTAATAGGCATTTTAATACAATTTCATGTTAATAAAATACATCAATTTCAATGTAATTAGCTCTTTCAAACAAAATTTGCAGAATATAGTAGATGTGTGCGCCTTCAAGTAAATAGTCTACAATTTTAAAAAATCCCCATCCAGGCAACCTGAGTTCTGCACCAAGCAAAGCTAAACCACTCTTTCTCAATTAAGGGTGCCATCCTCTGGCATCATGCAGGAGGCTCCAGGATTCTTTGAAGGCTAGCCGCTTTGCCCTTGCAGCTGGTGCAGAAAGAAGCTGGGTGCCCCTCCCTCCACACCACCACAACTGGGCATCGGGGGGGGGGGCAAAATGGGACAGGCTGGGAACAGGGAGAGGTGGAGGCTGGGGCTGCAGACTTACCCCAAACATCCCCGCCTCCTTCCTTCCACCTCCCAGCTCCAAACGTAGAAGGCCAAAACTGGCCATCTAAAGGCGGCCCCCAGTGAGGTGCAGCAGAGATTACGAGTGCACCTCACACCAGGCACAGGAGCTATGCAGGTCATGAGTTCAGATGTTTATGTGCATCTGCCATGGGGGCGATGAGACTGCACCGTAAGTGTGGAATAACTCAAATGTGCTGTGTTTCATCCCAGTCAGTGTAACAGGAAATCGCGGTTTCCCGCCAAAACAGTCCACTGCAGGAAGCCCTGTACACATGTGCTTTCCCACAACTCAGCCCCTTGATTTGATCATTCTTTGCTTTAATAAGGGACAGGTGGAATAAACCACAGTCTCCCGCATTCAAAGATAAACAAGACATTGCTGTTTATTAAAAAATGGAAGCTTCTTATCACTATGTGCAAGGGTGGAAAAGAAGTTGGGTGAACATGAACTGAAGGCAGAAACTCCTTGACAGGGAACCACTGCTTCCCAGTATGGCTGAGCTAGGCCACTGTGCTTTTCCTAAGGACCGTAACAGAGAATTACGCAGGGCACTGGAACTCCAAGTCTAGCTACTGGAAATGTTACTTTGTCATCCACCCTCAGGCCTCCAAGACTTCTCTGGGCACTGCCTGAACTTGCACAAACATCTCCTCAACCTCCCTGGCCTAGCAAGTGTTTTTTTTTTTTTTTTTTTTTCAGTACAATTTTGAGAAAGCTGCACTCTGGGCCTACCACATTATCTCTCCTATGGAAACACAGCCCTTGTTACACACAAGCATGATGAACTTGCAAGGATAGTAGTGCTTGGACAGCCAGCGTGACTGGGGCAGAAGTGAGCAGCGTTCCAGGCAGCTGGAACTGAAGAGCCTTATCACTGCCACAGCCCTGCAAAAACAGGTGCTTTGCTGGCATTCTGACAATACCATTTATTTAATGTGTAGACAGCTAGAAGCCCTTCTGCCATTTTCAGCTCTAGCAGTCATAATCCCTGATATGGGACTCGTAGTCCAAAACATATGAAGGGTAGCGGGTGGCCTATGCCTGTTTAGAGGATAGATCACAAAGAGGGGTATGGCAGTACAGACCTACCTGGAGCTTTTCGATCTCTGTCTTTGCAGCTTGCCTTGCCTTGCCAATGGCACATCCCCAATAACCCTGTAAAAGAAATGGTAAACAACTGAAACCCACACCACCACAGCATCTGTAACTAAGCAGTAGGCAATGGGTAGCCTTCCAGATGTTTTGGCTTGTAACTCCCATTATCCCTCATCGCTGGCTGTGCTGGCGAGTGCTGCTGGGAGTTGCACCCAACACATCCAGAGGGCCACGAGCTGCCCTGTCCTGCTGTAACAAATGCAAATGTCTTAGAAAGCATTAATCACAACCGTACATAATGCAGCCTCAAAACAACAACGCAATCATTAAATCATACCGTTGGAAGAGGCCACTGGGTCCAGCTCCCTGCTCAATGCAGGACTTGGGGCCGACTCTGCTTAGCTTTAGTCATTTTCAGTTTGGACTTTTCAAATCAAGGTTTGTATCTGGTCGATCCCAAATACAGAACTTGTCCAACTTCTAAGATCTATACCCGTCAGTGGAATGCATCACAAACAAGCTGCATTCTCTCAGGTGCTTCCCTTGTCTCATCCCTGACTTCCCAATGGCCCTTGGTGAGACTTTGCCTAGAAAACCTTACAGATTAGATATACTTTCCATCTGCTAAAAGGCAGCACTGGGAGGGGTGAGGCAGCATTTCAAATTGGCCTAGACTGTTATTTTCTAAAAAAATAAGTGATTGGAACATACAGATTTTAACATTTTTCTTTAGCTGAGCCATCATGGAATGTGCTCCCTGGAGAGGTGCGCCTGGCACCGAGTTTATATTCTTTTCGGCACCAGGTTAAAACCTTTTTATTTAATTGCTATTTTAAAAATTAATATTTTATCATTAACCATCACCTTTTTGTTTTTTATATAATTTTATGGAATTGTTATTGTTTTATTGATTTTAACTGTACGTTTGTAAGTTGTCCCAAGATGCTGAGGCATGTGGTGATGGCATATAAAAGTTTTAAATAAATAAATCATGGAAGTAGATGGAAAGCAATACAGCTGCACCTATCATTCGAAATGGGGGAGGGGAAAATATAATGCAGCAAGAAGCACTTTTCAACCAACCAACATAGTGGAAAAAATGTTTTATTCTGCATAACAGTGAAGAGAGAAGAACAGAATCTACAGATTTCCCTTACACCTCACTAGCACAAGACCCTCTGTGAGGCCTATGCAACCAGCCCTGGCATAGCCTGTACATTAAAGTGACTGTATTAAACATTGGGAGCAACAGGTGGCCCTCCTTCCTTGGTACTTAGACGTAGTGGCCACCCAGCAGCCAATGGGTTACGGATCTTTGTTCAATGAGATGGGCCCTGCCATTTTATGGTTTCCAGTTGTGCCAGCCTCTTGCAGCCCTGTGAGAAGTACCTCCTCTTTTGCTTACAACACAGCCACATGTCTCCTTCCCTTTTGCAGCCTAATCCCAGCTTTTCATGGCCAGATTGTCCAGCACAGACATTGGCAGTTCGCCATCAGGATAACTGAGCCTTCATTTCAGGGTGCTTCCCTTGGTAACACCCAGAATTTTTAGCTGTGATAAAACTACCTATAGTTCAACTTCCATCATTTTGTATCTTTAGATCCCCCACTAAATCCCTTTGAATGCCCTGAGAAATTAGAATGCCTATATATTAAACAGATGGTCTACAGTGTGTGGGAGCTTTTCTGATTAGTCTTTACACAGCTAGTTACTTGCTTCTTTCATTAGTTTCTATGTAAACAGAAGTTGTTCATCAGTAGAAAATGGTTAGAATACTTACATATGAAACTCCTGAGGGGTCAATCATGTATAGCTGGGCACCATCATCATCATCGTAGGAGCCCAACATGAAGCTGGAAAGACAAATCTCATTGGAGGGAAGCTGCCAGCCAGAGTGCAACACAACACAATCCTTATGTGCCATAAAAAATGTCTGAATTATTTTGAATGGTTCACTGAAATCAATGGCCACAAGTCACAGCCCACAATGCATCTTGACCATGAAGGTCCTCTTTCAGATTTATTAACATCCATCTTCTACGTAGCAACACGTTGTGGCACTAGTACACAACTTATGCCCCCCCCCCGATATTTTTGCCTACGACCCCAATCCGCCCACACCATCGGTTATGCTTCTGAGGGCTGATCGGAGTTGTAGCCTTCCAAATGTTTTGGCCTGCACTTTGACTCCTTCTGTACTGCAGTATTCATTTAACCAATAGGGAACGCTGGTCACCTATATCATCCTGCCGTATGGTAAATAAGCTCTGCCATTTGCAGATCAGAAAGCACTTTGCAGAATGAGATGAGCAACCTGACGAATGATGGCTTATTTTATTTCTATACTGCTCCACAGCCAAAGCTCTTTCCACACTAGTTAAAAATGCTAGTTGTTCTCCTAGCCAGCAGAAAATGCCATCTCATTTTTTTAAACGTGTATTTCCAAAGTAACTGAAGGCCACGTTTACTGACAAAGAGCCCATGAGCCAGTCATGGCACCTAAAGGCACATTTTGCTGGACCATGGATGCTTCTCAGCTGTTCACCTGCCCTGCCTTGTCGTAAATTGTGGATATACTGAGCTGTCTTTAGTAATACTGCAGAGGAAGATTTGAGTATCATTCTGCAGAATCCAGAGTGAGCTTCTCTTTGAAACTGAAGCCAACTATTCTTGAAGAAAGCACCCTGTCAAAACTTGTCTAGCAGTGTATTTTGCTCTCCACAGGAAGTAGTTTGACTATTACTTTTCACACCCCACCCATCTGAGGCTTTTGCCTTCCAGTCCATTTATGTGCTCTTCTAGCTTCTCTGAAGTTACGGGATTTGTTCTATCTATTTATCCAAGTTCAAACAACACAAATGCTTCCTAGCTCTGAAAATTCTTTCACTTTAAAACTTCCAACAACCCAGCACAGGATCTTTTGGAATGTTATTATTTTGGTCATGCAATTAGTGTTTGGGACAAACACTTAAAAAACCACTTTTATACTTTCTCTGACTTTTTGGGGCACAATTCTATGCACATTTAGAGAAAGAACTACAACTCCCAACATTCCCCAGTCAGCATGAGACTGTGCCATCAGATGTTACTGCAAGCCCTGAAACCTTACTGGCAGAGAGGATTATGAACTGAAATACAGTGAAAAGGCCATACCTGCAACCAAAAGGTCGGACAGCACTGTATAGTGTGTAGGCATGTACATACATAGCCACTCTGTCTGCAAGATGCTGTGGGGGAGAACAGAAGAGTTTTAGAGCACTGGGCAATTAAAAGATGATGCAAACAAGATGCATAGGGCCATCCCACCAGCCCTGCTAAAATACCTCCCCTATGAAGGCCTGTCCTACCTGCACCATCATCACCAGTAGCATTCCAACAAGCTGTACAGAGGACTATGGGAGTGTAAACAGGGCCACCAGCTGTGCTGAAAGACACATTTTTCCTTCTTCCCTTCCTGTCCCTTTTGCCATGTATTTGTATACGTGAAAGAAAGATCAGAAGCCTATGACCATCAACTGTCTAGTTTTACTGATTGCATGTAAGCCCTACCAGGAGCATTTTCTGCCAAGCAGCAGGATAAAAATATTTAAATAGGGAGTTTTTTGGTCAAAGGTAAGCTCTGGAAGAGTTCAGGAAGTTCTTTCACATGTTAACTTACAGTGAAGTGAAAGTTTCCAAATGTCATCTCCTCAGTTCCTCAGGAGCTTGAAGATTAAACCGTCCATACATTTCACAATGTGTACAAGCAGCAGTAAGAAACAACACAACTTACTTTTAGTGGAATATTATAACCATAGTTGGATCTAAAGTTAGAAGCTTCTTCCCTTGCAATGTCAGCCAAAGATCGAGCATCAGCTAGGAGACCTGCTACTGCCTGAAATAAAGATCGCCATCTCAGAATACAATCAAACCAGGAATTTGAAACTCAGCACATGAATCTCCAGGTCTTATTCTGGCATTACCCTTTACATCTGATATGTGATCATCAGGCGCATGTTTCCAGAACTGGTCAGACTAGCATTTCCACCCCCACAAGTTGAGGCCTCAAATTCTTTACAGTTACAACCTGAAAGTTACAAGTTGCTTATCCAAGAGTCTGTTTAACAATGGGATAATCACCACATAAGCCTAGCTATGTGCGAAACAGTGAAAAGTGTAAAACAGTAAAGCACCACTCACCATTCCAACATGTCGATCAACATTAAAGAGGCGTTTATTGGATCCTTCTTCGTAGAGTTTGGACAGAACTAGTTTTTCTACTCCGAAGACTACACCATCTTTACACCGTATCCCAATTGCTGTACTGAAGAGAAGTCACAATGCAAAGTTCAAAGCATAGGATGTTTCTGAAGCACGAGATAAAAGTTTTAAAGCCAATGGAAAGTGAATCTAAAAGAATGAGTCTCTGCCAGTGACCAGCACCCACCCCTGTTCAAAGGACTGCATAGACAATAAACCGTATTCAACTTAAAGGCCAAGGAGTTGGCTTTGAAACTAAAAAAAAAATAAGGTTGTGGTATTTTAATATGCCTTTTGTAGTAATGACAGCATAGAAGAAATACTGTTTTACTTTAATTCTTGAACTGTAGATCCACTTTTACAGAATACTAGTTTCTACCAAAAAACAATCCCACCCCCCAGAAATCTGCCTCTTACAGAGTAGGGAAGAAAAATAATTCCTTAAATATTATTATTACATTGCATTCATATACTATCTTTTTCCCTCTTGTGAGAACCCAAGGTGGCTTAACATAGCTGTTTTATCCTTTCAGCCACCCTGTGAGGTAGGTTTGGCTGACCATGAGTGGCTGGTCCACAGTCACCCAGGGAGCTCCCTGGCAGAGTGGGGTAAGGAGCTGGGTCTCCCCAGTCCCAGTGCAGTACTCTTTACCACTATGGCACAATGGCGGCATCACAACGATCCCGCACAGCCTCAAATTCAGAAGCCCTACGTGCTTTGCATTTTTATTTGAGGCTGCATCAACCTCTCTCTCATCGGGGGTGGGGGGGGCACACTAGGGAACTGCTCTCATGTTCCAGGGCACTCTTGTCCTCAACAGGTTTGAGAGCACAGGATTACAGAAAATGTAACTATAATTCTACTGAGCATGGAAAAACTGGAAAGAAATACAAGCAATGCATCCTTTGCTTGGGATAAGTACATGAATGTTTGCAGGCATTATTTATAGACTTATAACTTCAGCTATTTCAAATTCACACTTCATTTTGAGTACAGTACTGGAGCAAGATAAATGGCTTTCACCCTCAGATAAGGGGAAGAAACCCACATATCTACATTGGCATAGGGTACCAGCTTGCAAACTATATAGAACTTTGCTACATCTTAAAAAATATTTCCTCCTGCCATGAAAATATAGCACAAATGAAACTGTTGCCTTGGTATAAATCTATTCCCTAAGGAATAATATAAAAAAGAGGCTTGGGTAGTGTTGCCATTCAACAGCTAAGAAGTGAATATTTAGGTACTTATTATTAAGTTATTATTATGAGCCAAGGTAATAACTTCCATATAGTCTGGAGTGCTTAGAATCAGACCTGCTTAGAATCTGAATGGGTGACTTGAGTATATAATTCTACTATTATAGTTGTAAACTGCCCAGAGAGCTGTGGCTACAGGCAGTACAGAAATGTTAATAATGTCAAGTCCAACAATATACGCCCTCAAGCCTCTTAAGATCTGTGGGAGAGGCCCTGCTCCGAGAACCTTCCCTGGAGGAGGCGAAGAGGATGTCTACTTGGAGTAAGAACTCCTCTGCAGTGGCACCCAGATTGTGCAATGTGCTCCCTGGAGAGGTTTGCCTGACGCTGAGCTTATTTATTTTATTTAAAACATTTTTATGCCGCCCCCATCGCAACAAAGCCTCGGGGCGGCTCACAACAAGAACAAAATATAACAAATTGTACAATAAAAATATTAAAACCCAGTGCATCTCGGCTTAAAAGATTTAAACCAATAACCAATTAAAATAAGTTTTAAATAAAAAGGTCTTAGCCTGGCGCCGAAAAACAAATAACGACAGTGCCAGGCGGACCTCTCTGGGGAGCGCATTCCATAGATGGGGCGCCACCGCAGAGAAAGCCCTCCTCCAAGTATTATAGCTTATATTCTTTTCGGTGCCAGGTCAAAACCTTTTTATTCAATCATTATTTTAGAAATTAGTATTTTAATGTTTCATCAGCCGGTTTTAATTTTTATTGGTTATATGTTATTTATACGTGTATGTATTGTTTTATTGTATTTTAATTTTAAGGATTGAAAGCCGTCCTGCCATGAATAAGGGACGGCATATAGAAGTTTTAAATAAATAAATAATATCCAAGCAACTTTGAAGGTCAATCAGCTTTCAATACCAATGTGTGACTTTTGTTCAGTATTTGAATAAATAATTTTAGAGCAATGGATTGCAATTTTATGTAAGCCAACCTGCAAGTAAGAAAGATCAGGCTTCATAATTGGAAGCAAGTTCCACCGAAATCAGTTTGATTTACTTTAGCTATAATACAAAGGTCAAATCTTATTCCTATTGAAATGAGGAGCCAAAACTCACATGTGCGTTTTGAGTGAAGACTGCTCATTGGGACTTCTAAGTAAACATGCATATCAGGCTGTAAAGCTAAAATCTTTCAAATGGATAGTAATTGGATTTAATTCCAAGTAAATAAGTTGCATCAGTAACTTCACACTCTTGCGTTTTATCTCACAAGAGTCCAGATGCAACTGGGAGGATCCATATTTCACTGAAAGAAACCAGTCCTCTTCACAAAGAACCACCATTGTTCATGCTATGGCATTTTTGGTTAAAATCATCAGATTGCAGTTAACAGGTTTCAGCCTAGAAATATGGAAAGCTACTGCCAGTAGCTTGATGGAACAGTGTTTCATGTCTTCTATACAGTAGACTGATACATTTTGCCATGCTTACTCTCTCCAGAAGATGTTCTTTTCTGTAAAACTATTTTCTGCTTCAGGTAATCGTTGTTTAAGGACACTAAATAAAAACAGATTTACCTGCTATTCTCAACTGCTTTCATAGCATATTCAACTTGAAATACTCTGCCGTCAGGGGAAAACGTGGAGGCCGACAGGTCATACTGAAAAGAGATAGATAAAACTTTTTCAAACAACAGCTGGAAGAAGTGGTGGAATTGGAATTCATGAGTCAATTCCAGTGTGTCTCGGCGTCTGCATACTGTGGTGGCATTTCTCACATAAGTGTTTACCCTTTACCTAGTGTACAAATGCAAACACAGGGCACCCTCCAAGGCTGCCTGTGCGTCGGCAGCACTTACTGCCGGTGCAAAGGAACATTGAAGCCATCCTGGATTAGAGGGCTGCATCCTGTTTGTGCAGTGGGTGCAGCAACACTCTTCCACTTGTGCTCTTCAGCAATCCGTGTACTGCCACTGATACTGGAGGTGTCATACAGCCATCAGGACCAACAGTGATAGCTTCACAGACCAATGGGAAAGGAGTTGAAACTCATGTGCAGAACAAGGCAGTGACTGTCCCATTCAGGAAAGGAGTGTTTCAGATCGTTTATGGGGTTCAGTTACTCTACCAAGCACGACCTTCCTGCTGTGCCAGGGGTACAATAAAATCAGCACAGGAGCAGGCTCAGTGCTGGATACGGCCCAATGGAAGGCAGTGGCTAGAACCTTTGGGGTCCATCTTACAATACCATTCGAAGCACATTTACTCAGAAGCTGTACTGAACACAGTAGTATTTGCTCCCCAGTAGGTATTACAGTTGCAGCCTTAGTAGACCACCCCAATCAAGCTGAGCACAGACCACCCTAGCCCACCAGATTGTTGACCTTCAACTCCCATCAGCCCCAGATAGCGTGGCTAATAGTCAAGGATGCTGGGAAATGGAGTCCAAAACATCTAAAGGACACTAGATTGGGAAAGTCTGGTCTCGTCTTGACCAGCAGCATAAGCTGTTTGCAGGAGCAGATGTCCATTATTTTCCAATTACCACACTTTCTTAAGAGTATATACAATGCTACCTATTAAATGAATATATTATGCAATATTTCTCTCAAATTGTGAATTCCTGTTAAACATACATTTCATTATAGTTAAATGTAAGTTTTATCTATTTTGGTACATCCTCCTTAGGACAAACTATAACTCAAGCACTTACTCTTCATATTTATTATGACCTATATGAATGGTCATAAATAAATGGTCAGCAGGATTGAAACTGATCCATTTGTTCTCATAATTCAAATTGCTGATTTAAATAAATTCCCTCAGCAACAAAGCCTGGAGCAGCACATTGGTTCGTGCAACACCAGTCAGGACTGGGGAGACCCATGCTTCACACAGTGATCCAAGAGAGAAAGGGAAAGAAGCAGAGTCTTTGAAAAACATATTTAACACTCTGGCAAGCTTTAGAGTTAGAAAGTCTTGGGCTTGTGTGCTGTCAGTTTCCCTGTGCATGGCTGAAACCAGTCAGCTTCAAAAACTACTTCAGAAGTTGGCCTGTTTTCAGCAAACCACTGTTGAAATTAACTGCAGCTTATGACAATTATGCCTGAAGATACTGTGGTTAATCTACAATGGAAGTAAAACTCCTCCTTGTGGCCACACTAGACAAGGGGAGGGAACCCTGAAGGTGGCAACACCTCATTCCATCACCAAGTACAGCCAACTGAAGTGGAGTAAAGTTAAAGTGCACTCAGTGCTTCAACTGATATTAAAAGGGTCAGGAAGAGATTAGAGGGCTACACTTTCAGCTGCAGCCCCACTAGTGACATGAAATCCAATTTCAACTTATGCTGTGAGAATCACTGAGGCAGTGACATCAGTAATCAATTCTGGCACCTCACAACAGAGTACAAAAATCAGGTAATTGCTTGGCTGTTGTGGGGTTTGTTTGTTTTGGCTTACTGGATCCTATCAATTACTTATGGAAACTAAATGGAAACTAAATCCTCCTTCTGTGGGTATGAAAACAACTATTAGCCCATGTTAGATGCCAAACAGTTGTGTTTCAAGTAAGCAATCTGCAACCCTGAGATTTTTTTTTAGAAATAAGTGTTTCTTGTTCTAACTTATTATGCTTGCAATGGACATATGTTGTGCCTTATCAGCATCCATTCTAACCAGCCCTAGAACTAATGTGGTTGTTGGTATCAGGTCTAGAAGCCACATGAGGAGAGCTGACTTAACAGCAACCCCTGCTGGTCAATCAAGAACTGGAATACCTTGCGTCTGCTTCCAACTTTTCAAAGTTGATGTTTGGGCCATTTCACACATTGCGCAACCAAACAACCCAGTTTGACACAAGGTGTTAAGCATGGTTCTGGATTTATATATATGTGCTACAAGTGTTTATTATATTTTATATTAGTGGTTAAGAGTCCTGGGCTGGGACTCAGGAGATGTGGAGAGCTCACTGGGTGACTTTGGGCCAGTCCCAGACTCCCAGCCCAACCTACCTTACAGGGTGGTTGCTGTGAGGATAAGATTGAGAGGAGGAGGAGAATTATTTAAGCTGCCTTGATTTCCTTGAAAGAAAAAAGGGTGGGATAGAAATATAACAAAGAGATTTGGCAGGTGTCAAGTCTGATCTAAAAACTAAACCAGAATGCTTAGCAGAAAGTTGAACTTTGTACATCCAAGTACATAAAGTGTACTATCATAACTGGCTTTAAGTAAGAGGTATAAACAAAAATCCCTGAGATACTGAAGTTTTCTATAAAAGTCACTATTCAGTCCTACTGATAATATAGTTAAATTCATCTAATTTTAAAGGAACTTGTATCAGCTCTTCCCATGCTATGAACCAATTGCTGATTAATTTTAAATGCTATTTCCTAACATGGAAAAGTACGTACAGGTAGCCTAAAGGAAGGCCAGGTTTCTAACGAACAGGTCAATGAAAGAGCAAAAAGTGGATCCGCATCTGTGTGGAGATACTCTGTCTCCACAGCTAGCATCTGAATGTTTTTTGAAAATAGTTTTAAATGAGTGTGATTGCAAAACAGAATGATAGCTAAAACTGCTTCAATCCAGCACTTGCTGAAATCAAATCAATTCCTATTGATTTCAATGTAGCTAGAAAACCTCAGCCTGTGACCCTAACTCTGTATACAGTGAATTAAGGGTGTCTTCATACTTTATCACAGTTGTGTTTGTCACTTGGAAGGAAATCCCACCAGGTTCAGCCTACTCAAAAAGTGTCAACACGACACCTATGCCTTTAAAGTTCAGGTTTGCATGATCTGCAGCCCAGTTAGGGCTCCCAATCACACATGCTGAATGTGGATGCATAACATGGTCTTGAGTATTTGAGTATGTCACAAATGATCTAGTATAAGTACTCAACGCTTGCAAATTGGTTTAACAGAGAATCCAAGATTCAAATTTCAGCTTTATCATATACTTAAAGCCAAGCGAGGGAACACCTATAAGTGGCGGTGCAAGGCGGTAAGGGGCCCATCTGAATATTGCAGACAAAAGGCTCTGACCGCGCTATAAGAGTATTTCGTATTATCGCTACTAGAGATAGGGAGCTGTCACTAAATGCATCGAGAGGCCAACCTGTGCAACCCGTGATTTATCGGGGCTAACACATCTGGAGGGTAGCAAGGGGGAGAAAGCTGGGGGACGGCAGGGGCACATCTGGAGGGCCAGAGGATGGTGGGGGCTGCCGTCAAAAGCGAGGGAAGGCCGGGGCGGGGGACCGGGGGCTTAAACCGAGCCCGACTGGAGGGCCGAAACAGGCAGGCAGGCAGCCGGGCGCCCACCCTGCGCAGCCTCTCCGCCCACGCCGCTCCTTCGCCGCGAGAGGCCTCCGCGCGGCGCCGCTTCCGCTTTCGCTTTGCGCGAGTGACTCAGCGGCCCGGCAGCCGCGGCGCCCCCTCCCCGAAAGCCAGCGGGTGACGTCACGCGCGCGGACCCGCGCGAGGCAGGCCGCCCCCTCCCCCACTTCCCGGCGGCTTGGCCCGCGGGACCCCCGCCGGGAGCTTCCCCGGCCAAGGGGCCGCACCCCTGCCCGCCCCTCCCGCCACCGCTTTCCCCTCAGGCTCGCGTACCCCGGTGCCGATGGAGCTCATGGCGGAGGAACAGCGACGACAGACACCGAACCCCGCTGCTCGCCGGCCTTTCTTTCTCTTCCTCCGTTTCTTCAGTCGGTCTCGCGCTTCTCAGATTCCGCCCCCACTCAACAAGGCGCGCGCCGATTGGACGCCTCTCCCGCACCCTTGATCAATGGCGAATTACGATAGGTTGAGAACCTGGGGAGGTGGAGCCACCATTGCGTGTAGTGCACGCTCACAGGAGGCCGCCGAGTCATTGCAAGGACCGCGGGAGAGCAGTGCGCATGCGTGCGGCACGTACCAAAGACGCTTCTGTAAACCTGCTTCCTTAGTGCCCGGCTAGCTCAGTCGGTAGAGCATGGGACTCTTAATCCCAGGGTCGTGGGTTCGAGCCCCACGTTGGGCGCAAGCTTTTTGTTTTTTAACTTCCTGAAAAAGACAGTCCCAGGATCAGTTCCTCTTTACGTCGGAAAAGCCAAAAGCTGCCTTCGATGCGCGCTTAATTGGAAACAATTCCTGTTGCACTCATTGGATTGTGAACTCAATTTCACACCCCTGTTAGACTGGCCTCTTCCATTCCTCTGCTACATAGGTCAAACTTAGAGACCTGGGTCGGGGGAGGGGGAGGGGAAGGGGAGCAGTTGTGCCCTTCAACACGCAGGAGCTGCAAATAGCCTGCTGAGAGTGACTGCCCATCTCATCCCATCCCTTCATTGGAGCCTGTTAGGGACATGTTCTGTATGATCCTTAAAAGATCAGCAATTTCATACAGTATTTGAACTCTTAACTCTGGGCTGGATGGCATCAGGGCCCACTGAGTTAGTGGCATTCAGTTTATCATTGAGCTACCACTGAGTTTATCATTCAACTTTTGTCACCAACTTTTGGCTTCAGTTTCTGGAACTTCCTTCCTAAAAATATTTCTTCGGGCGTGGGAATCTAACATACATCTTTTGTACTTTAAACAGACAAGAATAATTGGTTTAGCATCTCCTTTTCATCTTTAACTCCTCTGTTATCTGACTGCTTCCAGATAATTTCCTGTTTCTGATGTATTTACATTTACATCTTTTGTTATTGTTGGTCTTAACCTTATTAGCAATAGGCTTCTCAGTTCTTGCCAACTAGAGTGAAATTAAAGCTTTTTCTTATGAAATGCTCTGATATTGTATGATGTGTGTTCCCACTTTGTCATCCCGTACCTTACAGTTCATACAAGTCAGCCTTCCCCAAACCTTCATCTGCTGCCCTCTGTTGTGTTGGATTGCAGCTTCCATCATTCCCAGCCAGCATGTGGGAAGCTCGTACAATTTATCTTTATTTTTATTTCTGTCCATTAATGAAATACCTACCTCCTTGGAAAGGTGGCTAGATGAATCACCAATTGGAATTAAGATTGCTGGGAGAAATATCAACAACCTCAGGTATGCAGATGATACCACTCTCATGGCAGAAAGTGAAGAGGAACTAAAGAGCCTCTTGATGCAGGTGAAGGAGGAGAGTGCAAAAGTTTGCTTGAAACTCAACATTAAGAAAACTATGATCATGGCATCCGGTCCTCTCACTTCCTGGCAAATAGATGGGGAAGAAATGGAGATAGTGACAGATTTTATTTTCCTGGGCTCCAAGATTACCACAGATGGGGACTGCAGTCAAGAAATTAAAAGACGCTTGCTCCTAGGGAGGAAAGCTATGGCAAATCTAGACAGCATACTAAAAAGCAGAGACATCACCCTGCCAACAAGAGTGTGTATAGTCAAGGCTATGGTTTTCCCAGTTGCAATGTATGGCTGTGAAAGTTGGACCATAAGGAAGGCTGAGCGCCGAAGGATTGAGGCCTTTGAATTGTGGTGCCGGAGGAGACTCCTGCAAGTCCCTTGGACCGCAAGGCGATCAAACTGGTCAGTCCTAGAGGAGATCAACCCTGACTGCTCTTTAGAAGGCCAGATAGTGAAGATGAAGCTCAAATACTTTGGCCACCTGATAAGAAGGAAAGACACCCTGGAGAAGAGCCTAATGCTGGGAACAATAGATGGCAAAAGAAGACGGGGACGGCAGAGGTTGAGGTGGCTGGATGGAGTCACTGAAGCAATCGGCGTGAGCTTAAGTGGACTCTGAGGGATGGTGGAGGACAGGAAGGCCTGGAGGAATGTTGTCCATGGGGTCACGATGGGTCGGACACGACTTCGCAACAAACAACAACAACAACAACAACCTCCTTGGTGCTACTTGGAAACAGGAAAAAACAGACCATCCCTACGTGCAGTCTTATAACAAACAACCACAAGTCAAAAGAATGAATCGGGAAGAGAACCGTAAACAACTGGACAGAACAAATCTAGAGTCACATGATGCTGGGACTGGAAATAAGTGGCTGTCTCGGCAGGTCTGTTGTGCAGTAGGGGCTACCCCTCTCCTTGCTTACCTGTGTGGAGTGCTCTGTCCTGGCTCTCCTTGCGCGCATTTCTGGTCGGTGGGTGCCTGTCCCTCGAACAAGCCACGCCAACCGGCTTCGGATGATACGGCAAGACTTGCTTGGGCAGTGTGCCTGACATGCTCTGCCATATAAACAACCTACCGTAGCTTGCACAAGGCGCAGTTTCCATCATCGTTGCCTGGGTGTGGCTGTGGAATCATCCGAACCCAGATGGCATGGCTTCTTGGAGGGGGAGACAACCTCCCAGTAACCCTCCCCTAGCCCAGGGGTTGTTGGAAGGCACTGCCCTCTGCTGGCAGGCCATGCCACTCAGGTCCAGGCGACATGACAAGCTGCAGCCAGACGGTAGTTATGAAAATCACTCTCACAATTCGACAAAGCGGCAGTGGATCATGTGGACCTGGGCATGGACTCTCTGCATGGAGTTGCTGCATTGGAGGTTTTATGCTGAAGCTGAGTGCTGATTGGCACCATATCCTATGCTCTCCTGGTGACATAGGGAAGACCATTAAAAAAATCTTCCCTTCTCTAAGTCTGGGTAAAGATGTATTGGGAAAATTTAGATAAATCCTGGCAGAAAAACGTTGCTTCTTTGTGCCATTGTGTTATAAAATCAAACCTAAATGAACTGTCAAGAATTTGCCAGACTGACCTATGAATAGAGCAATCAGTAATGTTTTCCATGCTATTGTTGCCAGTATTTCCGATCGGTTTAGAACATGGGTCCTCAAACTACGGCCCAGGGGCCGGATACAGCCCACCCTTCTCATTTATCCAGCCCGCCTCGGAGCTTTTGGACTCGCTTGGAAAAAATGATCTTTGGGGGTTTCTTTAGCTGATTTTTTCAAACTGTAGTCCAGCCCACAACAGTCTGAGGGACAGTGAACTGGCCCCGTTTAAAAAGTTTGTGGACCCCTGGTTTAGAACATCATGTCATGCCTAAAGACATCAGGATGCTATTGTACTCAGATTCTCTGGAAACTTGACACTCTGTATTGGTGTATGTGACTAGCAGGTTATAACGGTGTCTGTGCATGGGCTGTGATGTTGTGGTTGGCGGTGAGAACCACTAGCATGCAGTCGTAAGTAACCGCGGGGGTCCTGGGTGATCTTCCAAGAAAACTGCTGAGGTTCAAGGCGAAAGGGGCCTTTCGTGACTGAACCTGGTTATCCCTGCTGCGGCTGCTATCGAGGCTTTCCCAACAGATGCGCCATTGAGGGGGCAGGGTCATGGATTAAAGTACCATGTACCACGGCATAGGCAGGCTGCTTGGCTCTCTGCCATGGCTAGAACTCTCCCCCATCCCACCTAATCTGAAAGGTGCCCCAGTTATGATCGAACAACCAGGAACACTTTTTCAATCAATCAACATTCCCTTATGGGTGCAATTCTATGCATGTTTGTACAGGAAAAAAGGTCCTAGAGCAGGGGTCTCAAACTCGCGGCCCGCGGGCCAATTGCGGCCCATGGGACGATATTTTGTGGCCCCCACTTGATATCAAAGTTTAGTGATAGTGCGGCCCGCGTGTTTTTCTCACACGCACCTGCGTGAGTCGTTACCCTGGGTGCAACGTTCCCTCTAAGCTGTGCGCCGGGATGGGGGGGCACGGGGGAGGGCCCTGCGGCCTTCAAAGCGCCGGCAGCGCCCGGGCCAGCCTCCGGGAGTGACACGGGATGAGCGGCCCACCACCACCGCTGCCACCCAAGGCCGACCACCACAGTGGTGGTGGGTCGCTCATCCCACGTGCCCCTTACCTTCCCTGAGCTTTCCAGGATGTTCAAGCGGACCATGTGCCTTTTTGGGAGCACCTATCTCTGTGAAAAGCTCTTCTCCACCATGAACTTTAATAAGTCAAAGTTCAGGTCCGAACTTACTGATGAGCATCTTCAAGCCATCCTGAGGGTCTCAGTTGCTTCCTCCCTCAAGCCAAATGTGGCTCAGCTGTGTAAGAGGAAGCGCTGTCAGGTCTCTGGCAGAAAGGAGTAGGAGGAAATAAGAGAAGCCTATGTTCTGAAGAACCGTTCATGTTCTGAATTATTATTAGTAAAGATTGAGAAGACTGGATCAGTTGTATTTTTTTTGGAATACTTGAAATCCTTTTTTTGTGGAATACTCAAATACTTTTTTTGTGGAATAACCAGCCTCACCCAGACTCTACTTCCAGCGGCCCCCAGGTAAGTTGAGTTTGAGACCCCTGCCCTACTGCATGTGTAAGAATGCACCTTAAATCAATCACTCTAACCAGCTCTTTACTGATGTGTGTGTTTGGGGGATTCATATTGGGGTGGCTAAGAGGGGGGCACAGGATTGCAGCCTAAATTCTGCCACCTGAATTTCTTTAAGTACTGTAGGGCATTTCTTCATGAGGCATTTATGGTCCATTCATGATCCCTCACTCATGGAAGTCTGTGGGTCCTTTACAGCAATTGACATCTTTTTGAGGCTTCTTCAGTGTTTTCCAGTCATTTTCACTCCAGGCACAGACTCTCAGCCCAACCTGTCTCACAGGGTTGTTGTGGGAGAAGGATGTAAGCTGCCTTGAGCCCTTTGTAGGAAAAAGGCAGGATATAAATCGAAGATAAAAAAAAAAGAGGCAGGATAATATAACATGTTCCTGGAGTATGCCATTATTTACTATGCCATTATTATTTACTATAAGGACCTAAGACAAGCCCTGCTGGATCAGAGCAAAGGTCCAGCCATTCCAGCTCC